AGTGCAACCAGCCTCAACAAAAGCAACACATTCAACAACAAAACCATCATCAACAACAAAAACACCACAACTCCAGATAATATCAGCAGTCCAATATTCAGCAACAACAACAACAACAATGTAAACATAAAAGCGAGAGAACTTACAACAAACCAGCAACCAGCTGATACAACAGAAGCAACAACAACAAACATTAACAAAACTACAACATCGACATTAACAACGACAACATCAACAACAACAACAAACATTAACAACAACAAAACAACAACATCATCAACAACAACTGAAAAACGCCGAATCACAATTACAACGACAACAACCACATTCAACACATCAACTACAATTAACGCTACCGCCTCAACAATAGCCACAAAAAACGCCACAAACGCAACCACAACAACTTCAAAAAACATCACTTCAACGACCTCCACCAACAACACAGCAACTAATACACTCCCGGCAACCAAAAAATCCAGAAAAGCTCGGATTCACCCGAATAAAAAACTCCTCAACGAAACCTTAAGGAAAATATTCCTTGACTTTCAGACCGAATTGTACAAGGCAGTAAAAGACAAAGGCTGGAATGGTTTGGATGAGGTTGACGAGACGTCATTGCAGTGGTCACTGGCTGGTTCCATCCTCTACGCTATCACAGTTATTACTACTATTGGTGAGGATAATTTTTTTCAAATTTTTTTCCGAGTTTTAAAAAGATTTGCTAGTATTGTTGTTGAAAATTTTGTTATTTTGTTGTTGTTGTTGTTTATCTTCTTCTTCTCATTTTTCTTTTTCTTCTTTTTTCTCTTCTTCTTCTTCCTCTTCCTCTTCTTCTTCCTCTTCCTCTTCTTCTTCCTCTTCCTCTTCTTCTTCCTCTTCTTCTTCTTCTTCTTCTTCTTCTTCTTCTTCTTCTTCTTCCTCCTTCTCCTTCTTATTCTTCTTATTATTATTAACTATTATTATTACTATTATTACTGTTTTATTAATAATATTATTAATATTAGAAGATATAAGAATGATATGATGAATATAAGAATAAAAATTGCAAGCAATATCGTCGTCATCATCATCGTCATCATCATCGTCAAGTGCAACAACAACAACAACGCTGATTGATTCAACTATCAATTAATTAATTAACTAACTAATTAACCAATCAATTGATTAATCAGTTAGATAATTAATTTTATCAAGTGAGCTAAGTTAAACACGGAATAAAGAAACATTTCTAATGTGAAGACCAAGAAAAACATTTATTTATTTTCCTTATAAAAGCAGAGTCGTCTTCTCTTGAAAACAACCGTCTTTTTTATTAATACTGTTGTTATTGTTGTTGTTGTTGTTGTTGTTGTTGTAGTTGTTGTTGTTGTTGGTGTTGTTGTAGTTGTATGAGTAGAAGTAGAATAGAGTAGTAGTAGTGGTAAAAATATAGTAACACAAGCAATTTTAACAATAATATTAATAATAAATAACTAAACATCTAATGTTAATTTAATTATAACCTGCAAGAATATATCAAACTAAATGATGCTATGTATGTTTGTATGTATGTACGTGTGTGTGCGTGTGTGTGTGTGTGTGTGAGTGTGTGGTGTGGTGTGTGCGTGTGTTTTTTTGGTTTTACTGAAAAAAACAAACAAAAACCCGGTAACACTATAAGCTATCTATAGTTTATTTATATATAATTATGAACACAAACGTACATACAAACACACACATACACACATACATACATACATGCATACATACATACATACATACATACATACATACATACATACATACATACATACATACATACATACATACATACATACAAAAAAATCATTATTTTATATTTATACAATGTACTGACATTATAGACTGGTATTATATTTCATTCGATTTAATCTCTATCCTTCATTCTTTCATTCTGTCATCCGAGTTTTCTTTCTTTCACTCAATCAATCAGTCAATCAATCATTCATTTATTCTTTTATTTATTTATTCAATTTTTTATTCATTAATTTGAATGATTGATCGGTTTTTTGGCAATCATTTGAATGTTTTTTACATATGTAAAATATATAGAAAAAAAGTTAGATGGGTGGATGAATGAATGCAGTGATGGTAAAAATGTTTGCTCGTTTGTTCATTCGTTCATTCATTCATTCATTCATTCATTCATATATTCATTCATTCATTCATTCATTCATATATTCATTCATTCATTCGTACATTCTTCCCTTTTTTTCATTCGTTCATTCATTCATTTATAATCCATCCATCCATTCAGCCATCCATCATCTTTTCATTAATCTAGCTCCAGCCATACACATTTTTAAAATAGCATACATAAACAAACACACACATACACACATACAAACAAACAAATGCAAACATGCAAATAAACAAACAAGCAAGCATACAAACATATTTTCATGAAAAAAATCTTTTTCTTGCTAACAACAAAAATTGTTTGGTACATGTTGCATGTATGTATGTATGTATGTATGTATGTATGTATGTATGTATGTATGTATGTATGTATGTATGTATGTATGTATGTATGTATGTATGTATGGATGTATGTATGTATGTATGTATGTATGTATGCATGCATGCATGTATGTATGTATGTGTGTGTGTATGTATGTATGTATGGATGTATGTATGTATTGTATATGGGGTCATTAGAAACACCTGTTAATTTATTTTTTGCATTTAAGGTATGCAGAAAAAAACTGTTGTAAACATTTTTGCAATAAAATTCATCGAAAGAATTTGAAAGAGAAGAAGAGAAAAAGAAAGGGACAGAATGAGAGAGAGAGAAAGAGAGAAAGAAAGAGAGAGAGAAACAGAACAAAACTGGAGCGGATTTAAGCGTTATAAACTTATCAATGCAAATAGAACTAGAGCGATAAATTGAAACCGGCCGAAAATAGATATAACAACTATAATAATAATAATAATAATAAAATAAATAATAATAATTATAATAATGATAATAATAATATTAACAATAATTCAAAAACAGCTTTATTAGCGCTAATTGTCTTTTGGCGATGATAAGAATATGATCAAAGATAGGCGAGATAATAAAATTAATAATAATAATAATAAAAGTAATAGTAATAATAATAGTAATTGTGATAATGATGATGATGATGATGATTATATAATAGAATCAATAATAACATCAGCGACAACAACATCAACAACATCAACAACAACATCAACATCAACAACATCAGCAACAACATCGACAACAACAACAGCAACATCAACAACGTCAACAAATACACAACTCTTCAAAGACGAGCGTAGATGCGGTTTGAGATGAATGGCTTTTAAGCAATGCAATGTACTTACAACATAACATCAGCCTTTATTAGAATTCAAGTGCTAATATACATAATTACATGCGTACATACAGATATACAAATACACACACACACACACATACATACATACATACATACATACATACATACATACATACATACATACATACATACATACATACATACACACACACACAAACAAACAAACAAAAATGATAAACGGATAAAAATAAGTAAATATAAACAAAAATAGTAAAAAAATAAATAAATTTTCCAGTTTATGCACTAGAAATGCAAGGAACTCAATAAAAATTATTTTGTCTGCTGAATGCTGGAGAGAGAGAGAAAAAGAGAGAGAGAGAAAGAGAGAGAGAGAGAGAGAGAAGAGAGAGAGAGGTAAAGAAAGGAACTAAAAATGAATTAAAAGAACAAAAGAACCGTGTGATGAAAAAATGGAGGGGAAAGATTATAAGAAGGATAGAAAGAGAAGGGGGGAGAGATAGAGAAAAGATAGAGAAGAAATACAATTGGAGAAAAGAGAGAGAGAGAGAAAGAGAGAGTAATAAAAGGAAAGTTGAAAGATGAAATGAATGATGTACGGTAAAATGTAGCAAATAAAAATTAACAATATTGCTTGCTGTTCTGTCATATTTTTTCAAAATTTTTATGCCTGCTTGATTTATTTTTTCTCATTTTGATAATTTTATCTTTCCCTCTTTCTTTCTCTCTCTCTCTCTCTTTCTCTCTCTCTCTTTCTCTCTCTCTCTCTCTCTCTCTCTCTCTCTCTCTCTCTCTCTCTGATTTGATTTGTAGTTTGCATATTTTTGTAATTAAAAATGCTTGTTTTAAAGTTAGTTTCGTCCTTCAGTTGTTTTTTAATTCGTGTGCATGTAATAATTTGATAGTACTCGGTTAAGTGGATTAAGCATTAATTTTTACATTTTAACTTCCTCACTTAACAGGATACGGCCACGTTGTACCGAAAACCGATATCGGACGAATAGTTACGATCCTCTACGCCCTGGTCGGTATACCGCTGACGTTCCTCTACTTATCGAACATAGGCAACTTTCTTGCAGATTGCTTCAGAATTTTTTACAAAAATATCTGCTGTGATGTTTTCTGCTGTAAGAAGTGCGAGAGACAGAGGAAGAAGGAGAGATTAATTTTGAGAAAGAAACGCGAAAAACTAATTAGAAAAAAGTTAGTGGCAGAGGCCGCAAAGCAGACGGTCCTTATCAGCTGTAACAAGAAGAAGAATCGAAATTACGCAAAGTTACGCTCCGTTGTTGGCGTGACGCTTGGCAGAGACCTCAGCACTGATTTGAGCAGTAGCGGTAAAGTTGCTGGTGTTGATGGCAAGGATGATAAAAGTAAACTTGCAATGAATTCTGTTAAAAATTCTGATGAAAATATTACGACTAGAACGATGATGATTGTTAAAAAAGATGAAGACGATAGCTCAAATGTGATTGAAAAATTTGAAAAGAGGGCACAGCTGATGAAGATGATGGCTGGCGAGGGTGTTGGCGGCGAAGAAATGGTTGAAGTGAAGCGTCGCCAATCGGAAGCGAGCCCGACAGCGAACCCCCACCACCGTACATTCATAACTTCATTCTCGTCCCAAGCGCTATCAAGACCTCCTCCCAATTATTTCCCACACATCGCAAAGACCAAGAAGTTCATCTCGTTGAATGACTCAAAAAATATCATCTCTAAAGAGTCCGCCAAGCCTTGCCAGAGGAGAATTTTATTCAAAAACTGCACGCACAGCTCTCCAGAACTCGCTCTGCAGCCGCCACCACCACAACTACCACTGCCACACGACCTGGTATTCAACGTTTCTCCGATTCTTGAGAGGAACGAAAAAGTTAACGGCGATGAAGACGACGACACTTTGAATGAAGAAAGTCAAGCATTTGATCGAGAGGTGAGTATTAAAAAGAGGAATAAATCTACTAGAGAATTGAAAACGAAATCGAGGCAGGCGAGCAAAAAAATAAAATTCCTGCAGCACGTCTCATCGTCGACGTCTGAGAACGTGGCGAACAACGGAGACTCCTTCGTCCATCCACGCCATCCGGCCAGCTCTCCAAATTTTCAAATGCGAAGACGAAAAAATCAAAAACTGCATAAAAAATCCGACGCAAAAACCAAACTGAACAAAAAATCGCTCCGCAATTTTAGCAACGACGTTCATTATTTCGTCCACAAAAGTTCAAAAAGCAGCAAAACTGACGACAGCGATGACCTGCTGCAAATGACTCCATCCCTTCTCAGGAAGTGTTTCGATAATGCACTGGCTGAAACTTCCATTTTGAGCGACGAAGCTGACGATGTTGATGACGAAAATGTGCATGCTGGTACCAATGCTGTCCGTGACAACAGTCCCCATCTTCGAAACGTTCAACAGTCTCATGTTGCACCTCCTGAAAACAATTCCACCTCTCCAAAAAATTTGAAAGTGGAGTCAGCAACATGTCTCGTTAGGGACAGAGAAAATCATTGCCTGATTGAGCTAGACGAGAGAAATCCACACCACCTGCCGAATGATTTTTACGTTCATTACACGAGAAATCACCAAGCACAGAAACCGTACGTAAGAATAAAAAGCACGTCAGAAAACTCCAAACTGCGACTCGGCATTGGCAGATCGAACGAACGCGAAGCAACGAGCGCTCTGAAGCACGCCTGCAGCTCGTCGCCATCTCGTGAAAAATTTCAACTGCCAGAGCGCAGAAGGCCCAGCCAACCACGCAGTCCTCAGTGGAGGAGGATCCGATCGGAGAACTACAAAAACAGAACGAGACGAAACTGCCCTACAACCACCACCGCAAAACCAACACTGCCGACCAGTAGAAGCTTCGATTTTGGACACGCAATCGCCACAACAACCGCAGTGGCACTGGCCGCGAAAGAAGATTTCTCATCAGACGACGACGAGAAGAGCGACGACGACGACGAAAGATTGAACCAGGAAGAAACGTGCGAGCATGCAACAGTCACGGTACCCATATACATCTGTCTCATCCTCATTGGCAGCTACCTCTTCATCGGATCTGCCTTGTTCTCGTTCTGGGAGGGATGGAACACAATAACCGGTTCTTACTTCTGCTTCGTAACCTTAAGTACAATCGGTTTCGGTGATATTGTGCCGGGTACCGAAGCAAAAGATTGGTCGTCACAACCCAAGTTAGTACTCTGCGCCATCTGGTTGGCCTTTGGTCTGTCGTTGCTGGCGATGTGTTTCAACTTAATGCAGGAAGAGGTCAAGGAGAAGTTCAAGAGGATCGGCTTCAAGTTGGGCCTCCTGAAAAATGAAAAAATCACGTGATTTTAAATCATTTTACGGCGTTTTAATTATTTCTGATTACATTTTACGTTTAATTATTTCTGAAATATTCGTGATAATTTTTATTTATTTTTTATTCATAATCGTTTTTTTGTTTCTTTTCGATGAATTTGTCATATCATGTTGCTCTTAGGACATTCTCTTGTTCAGTTCTTCGGACTATTTCAACGTGGTTTTGTTATTTTTACTCATCCTACTTTCACTGCTCTCTGTTATTTCAATAGGAATAAATTTTAAAATACAGATATTTCATCGTACATAACAATTTCAAAAATGCCAAAAATGATAAATTCAGGGTTTCAGTTCTACACAAAAGCCGAAAAACTAAATAGAAATGGGTGGAAAATTATTACAAAACAACAGCCAACTACAAATACCACATGATTAAGAACACACTACGAACAAAAATATACATATGCACATACAGCACATACACACACACACACAAACAAACAAACATAGACTCTTATACGCGCACATACAAACATGGAGCCATAAAAAGGCGTTAAAAAGCAGGGAGAAAAACATAAAATAGTTCAGTATGTCGGTATAAAAATGATAATTATCAAAAATTATGTTAATAATAATAATAATATCAGTTCTCGTTTTCAGCATCAACCAATCACCATCGTTGTCATCTTCCTCATCAACCAATCATCATCGTCGTTGTCATCTTCCTCATCAACCAATCCTTATCTACGTCATCACCTCACCAATACCATTATCAACTAATCATCGTCGTCGTCTTCATCGTCGTCGTCCTATTCTATCACCATCTTTAGGATGAAGATTTTATCAATAGCGAATGAAAACTAAAACGAACGACGCTCCACATATACACACGTACATTTATACACACTCACACACACATACATACACACACACACACGTGCACACACACATATATACACACATACATACATACACAGACGTTACTCTTTTTCTCTTTTTAGCTACGCGCCTTTCATCATCTTTACTAGAGCTATTATATTACTTATGTGTATATGTGTGTGTATGTGTCTGTCTGTGTGTGAGTGTGTCTGTGTGTAACCTTGGGTTTTACTTATAAGCTTATGTTAACCCAATACGTTATCCTAAAGAAATTTTATTTTGAACAAACCTCAAGAAAGAAAGGAAGATAAGTATAACGGGAAAAAATTGATAACAATATATATTATTATTATTATTACTATTATTATTATCATTTGGCCAGTCGATTTTAAAGATACTTAAGGAAGTGTGTAATTAATTCATCGCACAAGATATACCGTGATAGGAATTTTTATATCAAATTTTATATCATTTTTTTTATCATCCTTGTACATGGATGACTATAAACATTTTGTACATTTATGATAATTGATTTTATATTTTGAGGTTTGATGATAATAATAAAATGAGTTCCCATTATTATTATATAATTAATACATAATATTAAGACTGTAGTAATTATTTATGAGAACTCTTTTATTCTAAGCAGCCAGGGTAATAAATAATTAAAACTATGAAATAAGTTAACAAAATTAAAATACATAAAATATATATTCAAATTCATATCATAAATTGTTTCCGTCGCGATAAATGCCGTGCGATAACCTTTTAACAGTCTCTACCAACTCATCACTAAAAGAAACCGGCCACTTAATTTTAAACGATGAAAGATTTTTTTTGTTTTTATTTATTTGAAGTATGACCAAAAAAAAATGAAACCTCTGAATAGGCCACAACTTGTCGAAAAACTGTAACATTGAGATCGACAAATATGCAGCAGTCTGATCTGGTGCACAGATCTTTAACCAGTGGACAATAAACTACAGTAACTGCGTAGAGGACATAGAAATGTTGTTGACTTGCCCATTAAAATAAGTTTGCATGCATTGGTGGGAAGCTGTTGTAGTAAATATTTTCTAGTAAACTTATAGAGCAGCCATGGTCATCTTTCGCCGATCTTTGACCATTTGTGATGGGGAAATGTGCTCCCTTATTGCTTCAATTGACAAACCTTAAAATTACTTAAAACCCATATTAAAATTTTATTGCGCCATTGTGCTCGCACTTTTACTAACACTACCAGCCAAAATTAAAATATATTAAAACTTTTAAAATCGAGTTATTGCAATAAAGCAGTAATTCATGTTTCAATACAAGCGCAATAACAATAATAATAATAATAATAATAATAATAATAACAATAATAATAATAACCGTCATAAATAATGTTGGCAATAAATATATAATAAATAAATGCACGTCAATAATCTAAATCAGTTACACCCATATAAGCGTTTGTAAGAAATGAAAATCTATTATTATTATTATTATTAATGTTGTTGTTGTTATTATTATCATCACCATTATTATTATTGTTATTAATATTAATCTTTATCACTTTGTAGACATTGGCAGGGCGAATTTTCAAAATTCTCGCATCATCATCATCATCATTATTATTGTTGTTGTTGTTGTTGTCGTTGTTGTTGTCGTCATCATCTCCGTTTTCATTGGTTAAATTTGCGAATTTGCTGGCGTGTGATTGGCTGAGTAGGTCAACTAGAAACATCTTTAAGGCCTGAAAATATGAACAACAATTATAGTTATAATAGTAATTATTATTATGGTAATTAAGAGATCTTAGATACAACAACTACAACCACAACAACAACAACTACTACCACTACTACTACTACTACTACTACTACTACTACTACTAAACAACAACTACAACCGCTAAAACAAAACCAACCCCAGCTAAAACTTCCTCAACGACATTGGCATAGAATCTCGGGTTGATGTTTTCGTCCACAGCCACCGGCTTCAAACGCAGACAGATCTGGCGAAATGAAACAAATAACAATAATAATAATAATAATAATAATAATAATAATAATAATAATAATAACAAGCAACGATAAAAAAAATAACAAGTCAGACTTGAGACATGCACTGCTGAACGTAAGAAGCTTCTAAAGATAATGGCATAATTTCTCGGACCAATGAAATCTTTTCCTTTAACGGTGATGTCATTTTATTGTTGTTGTTGTTGTTGTCCTCCTCGCCATCATCGTCTGTGACGTTGACGATGACGTCATCGTCGTCGAGTTTGTTGTTTTTTAGACGCATGAGATCATTTAACACAGGCTCGATGCTTGTTTTCGTTGAGAAAGAGTTTTCGTTCGTTGTCGTTGTTGTCGTTGTTGTTAATCTCGATGATGATGTTGTCGTTGTTGTTAATCTCGATGATGATATTGTTGTTGTTGTTGTTTTGCTGTCGTTGCGCGTTCTCTTCATCTTATGCCGTTTCAAAATTTCTTTAAGAAGAACGAAGAATGTTTCAGAAAAAATTTCAAAACAACCTAAACAACATCAACGTCATCACAATCATCATCAACAACGACGACAACAACAACAAAAGCAACAACAACAACAACAGCAGCAGCAACAACAACAACAACAAAATTACCATTATCGATAGGAGTATGGCCGTACATTCGACACCACTTGGCGACGAACCAGTTGCTATATTTTGAAATAAATTCATTATCATTGTTATTTGTAGTGACGTCGTTGTTGTTGTTGTTGTTGTGGCGACGCTTCTGAAGGACAAAGAGCAAACAGTTCTTAACGACCGAAGCCCTGCATAGCTAAGGTGTTAATGATGATGTTGATGAAGTTGATGTTGTCGTTTTTTTATTCAGCCAATAAGATGTTGAGCAACTACAACATCAAAAACAACAACAACAACATCAACAACAACGTCAACAACAACAACAACAACATCAACAACCTCATAAGCCCGCCTTTTGCCAACAGACCAGCTTAGATACTTTTTAAGGCAACTTGTACTAAGGTATGGATATTTATCTGTTATCAAAATTTTAACAGATGATTATCGGCTGATTGATTGATCTTTTATTCATTCGTTAATTCATTCATTCGTTAATTCATTCACTCATTCATTCATTCATTCACTCATTCATTCATTCATTCATTCACTCATTCATTCATACATTCGTTCATTCATTCACTCATTCATTCACTCATTCATTCACTCATTCATTCATTCATTCACTCATTCATTCATTTTAAACGACAGCAACCAAAAGAGTTGTTAACCACAATCAGCAGTTATGATTGGACACCTGAGCACAATACTCATCAGCAATTGGTCAACTGACATTTTCGAGTCCGCCCTGAATAATGAAGAATGAACGAACAGATGAGTGAACGAATGAATGAACGAACAGATGAGTGAACGAATGAATGAACGAACAGATGAGTGAACGTATGAATGAATGAATGGATGAATGAACGTATGAATTACTGAACGAAAGAATGAATGAATTAAATGAATGAATGGATGGAATGAGATAGAAAAACCCGTCCTACTTAATGTGAGATGTGGTTTGCATTATAAATGAAAGTAATTTTTCATCAGAATCTTGCTGCAACTGTAGCTGCTGCTGCTGATGACCATTGTTACTAGTCAAACGTTTATCGCTAGCCACATAAAATGATGGTGACGACGACGACGACAAGGATGATGATGGGAGTAATGATGATGATGTTTTCAATGATGATGATGATGATGTTTTCAATGATGATGATGATGTTGTTTTTCTTAATGGCGATGATGACGCTGACGACTGCTGGCTACATTTTAAAATACTGGTCATTTTTATTGGTCTCGATTTTGGGTTCATAGAGATTAAAGGTTTGTTGGTGTTGTTGTTGATGTTGTTGATATTAATAATGTTGTTGCTCATGTTATTGTTGTTGATCATTTTGTTGTTGTTGATGTTGATAATTTTGTTGATGTTGTTATTGACGTTAATGTTGATCATTTTGTTGACGTTGTTGTTGTTGATGTTGATCATTTTGTTGACGTTGTTGTTGTTGATGTTGATCATTTTGTTGATGTTGTTGTTGTTGTGGTTGTTACAAATTTTGATTGGTTGGCATTGCTGTAGTCTGATTGAATGTTGTTGAAGTTGTTGCGTCTGCTGGCGATGTTGCTGTTGTTCTTTATATAAAGAAGTTAGGGATGGCGATTTCGCTAATGATAATAACGACGATGATGACGTCACTGATGATGACGTAAAATTTGTAAAGGTATTTGAGTTTGGAATTTTAATCTTAGGTGGAGCTGTTATGCCGTGCTTCAGATTGCTTAATATTACTATTGATTTCGTCGTATATGGCACTGATTTTGTTATGATATTTTTGTTGTTGATGTTGTTGTTGTTGATGTTGTTGTTGTTGATGTTGTTGATGTTGTTGTTGTTGATGTTATTGTTGATGTTGTTGTTGATGTTGTTGTTGTTGATGTTGTTGATGTTGTTGTTGTTGATGTTATTGTTGATGTTGTTGTTGATGTTGTTGTTGTTGATGTTGTTGATGTTGTTGTTGTTGATGTTGTTGTTGATGTTGTTGTTGTTGTTATGTAAAATTTGGTGCGTCGATGTTAATGAAGTTGATGTAATGATCAATGATGACGACGATGATGTTGTTGTTGTTGTTGTTGTTATTGATGTTGTTGTTATTGATGTTGTTGTTGTTGTAATGGGTATCGATGGTTTTAATATTGTTGATGTTATTCGTAGTAATGTGGCTGTTGTAGATGGTGGCGGTGGAGATGGAGGCGAGTGCAATGTTAATGTTGGCGTTGAAGATGATGTGGTTGTTAGCGTCATTCTGGTGGTTGTCGTCACTGCGGTTGCCACTGGGGCTGTTGACGTCATCTCTTCCTTCTCCATGTCAACATCATCACCACCATCAGCATCACCAGCATCATCATCATCGTCATCAACATCACAATCATCACCACCATCAGCGGAAAGTAGTTTCACCATGGGCATATTTTTCAGTTCCACATCTATAACCTTCGAAATCAGAAAAAAAAACAAGATGAATAAATATTATAGTATTTATAATAATTATTTATTTATAATTATAATATTTATAATAATCATTTATTTATAATTATAATATTTATAATAATTATTTATTTATAATTATCGGCCTGAAGAGTGTGCCAAATAAAAAGCATCATCGAAATCAAGCTGGAAGTACATAGGACCGGAAGAACCGCAAATATCGATACTTTGACGGGAACATCCCTAAAACCAGCCAGCCAATCAACAGCCGACCACGGTCAACTTACTGTTTCAAGGCCAGGAATCTGCAGACCAGTGAATGTACTATCTAGCTGCATGTCAGGTGAGGAATGTTTTAAATTAATAATAAAAAGGCTTACTACAAACAAGCAAACAAGACAAACAAGACAAACGAGACAAACAAACATACACGCACACACACACACACACGCGCGCGCGCACATACACACGCACACGCACCTTCAATTGATGCACAAAATTAAGAGCAGTCCTGTCAAATGGCGGTTTGAAATGCACCTCAACTCGCACTGGGAACTCGCCCCAACCCTTCCTGACCAATCGAAATGGAGGATTTCTGCTCATGAATATTCACGGAATAATTAATATTTATTAAGGTCATTAATATGCATGAGAAAAAAGTATGTTAAAACCTGTTGAGATACTATTTTCCCATTAGCGTCTGATGCAATTTTGATATAAAACAACAACATACAAACATAAGTACACACAAACACACACACACACACACACACACACACACACATACAAACATACACCAACACAACTAACGTAATTTTAACGAGGTCATGTGGTTTATAACTGGAGTGTAGCTTGAAAACGACATTATCCACACAGTCTTCCACGAATGTCGAATCGTCAGAACAACTCCTTACATAGACCATCCATTGGTGTGTTGGTGATGTTGTGTTGTTGGATGCCTCCGATGATGGGGCTGTTGGTGATGTGGCATTCGATCTTCTCTGCTGCTGCTGCTGCTTGCTCTTTGCCAGTAAATATCTAGGAGAATTTTCAATATTATTGTAGTAGAAAATTGATGTCAAATGTGATGACATTTAAGATAAAATACAAAACCAACCAATCAACCAACCAATTAACCAACCAACCAATTAACCAACCAACTAATTAATTAACCAACCAACTAACTAACTAACTAACTAACCAACCAACCAACCAACCAATCAAGCAGCCAACCAATTAAATTAACCAGCCAACAAGCAAAGAGTAGCCAACAGCATTAACAAACCTTGAAACATTTCCAATGATAAGTCTCTTATAAACTGAAAATAAATCTCCCCTTCGTCGTCTATTATGAAATACTGGTGATGATTTTGTTGTTGTTGTTGTTGATGTTATTGATGTTGTTGTTGTTGTTGATGTTAATGCATTATACTGCCTATTTGTTAAGACCTGCTGTGTTGCTGGTGTAACTGCTCTTGTTAACGTTGAAGCTGTTGATGGTGCCGATGACGTTGTTGTTGTTGTTGATGTTGTTGCTCTGCTTCCAACATTAATATCATCAATTGGTTCTTGCTTGACCTTTAACCTCGAGACTTCATCAACCCCGTCTAATTTCAAAGTCATCTTCACATTAGGAGATTTGATTAAGTGCTGATAACGATGATGATGATGAGGATGATGATGGTGGCCATTGTTACCAGCTACACTATAATGATCATCCTCATAGCTATTTTGGTTGTCATTATAGTTATTAGTGCTGTGGTTTGGCAGTAATGTTTTACCGAGAAACTTCTTAACGGTCGGATGTATGGTGTTGGTCGTCGTCGACGACGATGAATCATCAACATTTACTGGATCAGAGACGTCTGTCTCGTCAATCTAAAATAGAAACAAATAAAAAGATAATTAATAAACGATGATAAAAATTAGGGTATGTATGAATTAAATTAAAATAAATAAAAATGAAATAAATACCTTTCCATAATGTTGCAATACCATGGCCATTCTCAATCTGTCCAGTAAGCCTATTGCACTATTTATATTCTGAAAATATTTTTTATGAAAAATAATAATAATTATTATTATTATTATTATTATTATAGTTATAATTATTATAAATAGTTATAATTATAACCAACATCTTCGACTTTTTCAATCTCTAGTTCTTTGTTTTTTATCTCCCTGTCGAATTCTCTGTTAATAACATTTGTGATCTTTGATATCACTGATTCTTTTTCTACAAATAGATTACAGAAACATTAAAAATGCTGTATGCGTACACAAACACAGACACACACATACACATATTCATACACACATAGGGACATACTCATACACATACTATATGTCGAACAAAGATAGTAATAACAATGCAATTAATAATACTTAATACATACATTTGTACTACTTTTTACACAAAAATACCACCATAAAAATTTATAATAAAGGAAATAAGTTGTTTTACTAAAACAAGACTTAAATTTGATAAACCTGCAAGATAATTATTACTGTTGTTAATCCATTCAGTTAGTGATTGACTCAATTTAAGCATTTTTGAGGCTCCATTCATTCAAGCATTCACTCGTGCATTCGTTCACCCAAAATCCATTCGCACTCATTCCATCCATTAACAAACAAACATCATATTCCACATCATCACTGATTTTTGTTGCTAATCGTTCATTTATTATTTCATTTGTTTGTTAATTTATTTTATTTATTCATTAATTCAATAATTCATTTAATTTAATAATAATTACAATAATAAAGTTGTATAGTATACCATTTTCGCAAAGTTTAATTCGCTTCTTTTTGCCCTGATCATCTGGTTGGTGGTCTTCATCATCATCATTATCGTATTCATCATCATCGCCATCGGCAGCCGATCTTTTCAAACTCATTATAAATTTTAAATTAAATTTTAAAAAATAAAATAATTAAATTTAAAAAAAAAATGATTTCATTGCATTTTTCGAAAAATTGAAAAGTGGACAAAAATAAAAACGTTTAAGAAGTTGGCAACTTTAAATTAGAAATTTAGTTTTTCAGTTTATACTTAATAGTATATTTCAATTCTTTGTATCATACTAAACATTATATCACTTGCATATTTGACACCGAAAATTTTTGTAAGCAACTACGTGCTAATTCATAAATCCCCGTACAATTCCATTCAATTTTCAACAGAAACTCCTCCATTTTATTTCATTTTAAAACCAAAAAAGTTATGAAATACACGTTAAACTTCAATAAGACAAAATAAATAAATAGAATAGCGAAACTGTCGTTGAAAATTGACCACAAGTATATCAATTCACAGTCATTTGAAGCGAAAAATATATGAAAAAATAGCATTAATCATCGTATGCTAAAAATAACGAATACACAGAAACACAGATAATACAGAAATGAATAGACGAACGGTTGAAGATATAATGATACTAAGTACATTCTCATCACTTATGAACATTTGGACTAAATAAGTAACGCTTGTGCACAGCTTGAATGCCTAAAATAAGTAATATAAGTTACTTAATAGTAATAATACAGTATGGATAAGTCACATACATATTACAAAACATAGATAGAACAGCATTACAGCCGGTGATTTCGGGACGAACGCATTTTGATTATTTTTTCCGTTTTCCAAATTTTCTGGATGTAACTGCTTGACGTCTTTGGCAATTCGTGAATAGACTTCTTATGAATTTTTTTATCTTTCAAAATGTGCCTCAGTGCAAGTCTGAAAATGTAATGTTGTTTAGGTTTAAAAATGAAATTAAATAACAACATCAAAATGAATTTAAATCTACAGTTACTAAATAAATACCAAATGATATTGCCGGTTTAGTTCACCTCTTGAAATTATAAATACAGTATCAACAACGACACACACACACACACACACACACACGCACAGCAAAAACACAAATGTACAACATCCATTGCTTAATTTACCTGTACAATTTATCTGGGAAAAACCTCAAGCATACCAGGTTTGATATGTATTTCTGTTGAAATTAAGTAAAAATGTCGTAATTAAATACAATTTTAATAATAAATCAATTAATTTAAATACAATTTAAATAATAAATCAATTAATTAATAAACGGTGAAAAGAATAAAGAGATGATTGAATGAAGGAAGAAATGAATGAATGAATGAAAGAACGAATGAAATAATTTTATCTATAATATCTCGGCAGATAATGCAATCTAATCCAACTGCAAAAAGTATGGTCGAAAAAACAAATCACTTGAAGAAACCAAGAATTAAAACAAAACAAAGAAAAAAAACAAGAAAACAATGGAACTTACAGGGATGTCCTGTCCATCGTGGATATCATTGTTACATCCCCCAAAAATGAGTACATCTCCATTTCCTGAAACGACAGTCGTATGCCAGAGTCGACCTCCGCTCGGTAATCCTTCATTTTTTTTGCACCATTTTACAGGCCTATCTCTGTACTCTGGGATGTTTATCGTCCAAATGTCATCTGAATAAATTATGCTAATTAGTTTTAACCAAAGGCTGTATAGTGAATAATTTACATAAAATAAATAGCCAAATACCGTTTGAGTGAATTAATTAATTAATAATTAATTGACGCTAATAAATCAGTTTGAATTGGACCAGGTACTTTCAGCTATCATTAATGAATACTACCCAACTACTCATAAATAAATAAGCTCTCATTTGCGCATGGTAAATCAGCAAATTTGTAAAAAATTCATTTAAAAAGAATAAAATAGAAATGACAAAGTAAAATAATTGAAACCAAACCGAGCACTCTTCGTTGGTGTACTTGTCTCGAGAAGTGTGCATAGCCACCGATTAGAATCAACTTGTGATCACCATCATCACCACCATCACCACTATCACCATCAGCATTGTTGTTGTCAGTATTGCCATTTTTAAAGTGGTTGGGTACATTTGTGAAGGCATTCAACGTGTGCCACGATCTTCCACACGGCACGCTACCCTCAACATCGATTCTGAAGAAATTTTTTCAACTTTTATTAAGTTTATCGTATTATTTATTAATTATAATTTAATATTCTAATAAAAAATCAGTCAAGGTAAGAATAAAACGAAAAAAAAACAAGAACTAAACACAAATAACGAATTTTTAGATAAGACAAAACACTCACACACACACACACACACGCACACACACGCAAACAAACCATCTTAAAAAAAATTCCCTAACTTGGTCCAGATGAAAGTGTGAAGGTCGAGATGGTACAAATCATTTAACCGATTCAGCTGAAGCCGACCACCGAACAGATACGCGTGTTTCGTATTCTCGATCAGTGCGATCGAATGGGCTGCCCTAGGTGATGGCTTGCTGCCCTGAGGAAGAAAATAACTTCGGTGAAAAATAATTTTAAAAAAATAAATTTGGTGAAAAAGTTATTTTGGTGGAAAAATAATTTTGGTTTAGAGAATAATAAAAAATTACTTCTACGATACAACTAATGATAGTAATAGATATAAAAAGTTTCCTAGAATTTTGAAAAAATTTGTTGAATTGATTAATAAATAAAATAAATAAATAAATGATTATTATTACATATAATTTTTAAAAGTATAAAGATGACAGCATAGAAAAGAAATTTTAAATCAAGAAAGTTTAAATGTCGCGTACAGAGCTTTCTATAACTTTCCATGAATTATCAGTAAGATTGAACTCCAACAGCTGATTATTCCAGCCAGTCGGAGTTTCTTCCTTTGAATAAATTAATAAATTCAAATAAATTAATTAGTGTAAAGAAATAGTAATAAATTTGAATGAAATAATAATTTAAATAAAGCTAAAATAAAAGCTAAAACTGACATCATCTACCCAATTAGGAACAAATTCATCGACTCTGGCACTATGTAATTGTTCTGTTATATCTCTACCGTGTCCGCCAAATATGTAAATTCTTTTTATAATAATTAATTTCAGTAATTAAAATAATAATGATTAATAACTGTAATTAATTAATGTAAATTAATCAAAATAAAAAAATCTGAACTCAAAAATTTCCAATTTTACAACATTAAAACTAATTATAAAAATGTAGTCAGCCTGGGAATGGATTATTTGGTGTTGATATTATTATTATAATTATAAACATGATTAAAATTGTTAGGTAAAGTTAATCAATAGTGCCCCCTCCTGTACTAATTACAATATAATATAGCTCCATTCCCTTTTCAAATTAACTAAGTGGTTATCATAACTGCTGTAATTATATCTAACAATTTTACAATTTAACAAGTAATTTTATAATTAATTAAAAAATTAATTACATTTAATTGTAATATAAAATATTGAAAAACTAATTATTGCAAAGAAAAAATACGTACTTTCTGTCATATAAACAGCATGAGAATTTATCTCTACCGGCCGGCAGCCGGTTGTCAACTCTTTTCTGATCAACAAATTGACATGATTTTTTATCGACAGAGATCTCAAAGATGCTATTTATATATTTAGTACTCCCACAGCCAAAGATTATGTATAACTTTCGGAATTTGGGATCGTAGACTGCTCCAGATCCAGACGATTCAAGGATTTGTCCCTTTAAATTGCAGCTTTTCCTAAATGATATTATTCAATTTATATATATATATATATATATATATATATATATATATATATATATGGATATTAGACCAAATTCATTTAAACTTTAAAGATATAAATAAAATTAATTAAAAAAAATTTTTCAATACAAATGTAAATTAATAATTATCTATACCATAATTTGATGTCTGGAAGGTACTTCCAAAACTTATAGGGGTTCATGTATTGACAAATCCTCGTTATTCTATTGTTGTCTGACTGTCAAATAAATTTATTACAAAATCAAGTGTTTTATTAAAATGCATACACATACATTCAGGCAGATACACACACACATATTATTTTATATTTAGTTAGTTGGATTTTATTCAATTAAATTTTTATTTAATGTTGTTAGTTAAATATTTTACTAATCATAATTTTTATTGTATTTTTAGCCCTAAATGACACAATTTATAGTTTTATATTTATCTGATCTGCAATTGATTTGCCTTGGTTTTATAAAACAAAATTAATTTGAGTTAATTAATAATTTAATATTATAATTATAATAATATATTAATATAATTATAATGCAAGCAGTAATAACGTTTAGAATCTGTTTTTCAGAGTAGCCACCCCAGATGAACATGTAGTTATCGACGTAGCAACTGACGTGCCCAGTTCGTGCGTATGGCTCCGTGTGTTTGTGTTCGTAATTTATATTCTCTATTTGCATGGCACTTTCCAGATATTCCTGATCCGGCAATACTTGCATTTTTTTTACCTTTCTTTGTCAAACTTATGTCTGCACGTCCAACAAAGAAAAAAACCGGAACAAACTTCCTTTATTGTTTTTGTATGTTTATCCGGAAAAACTTTTATTTTATTATTTTCCGGATTTAAAATATATGGTCGTCCGGTATTTAAAAAAAAATGAATTAATTTATTGAAAAGAAATTTTCTAAATTCACTTTTTTTTTACATCGTATATAAAATTATAAAGCGAGCAAAATTTTAATATAAATCTGGCTCGGCTCGGCTCGGCTTGGCTTGGAGTTTTATTTCAAATACCAAGCAGTTTCCATTTGGTAGTAGAATAGTTTACACGTTAATAAGAAAGAATCATGAAATACAGAACTTTTTATCTTATACACACTCACATTACATTGCAGTAAGTTTCATAAATGATTGCATTAGAAATAATAAAGGCATTATTACTGAAACTCACCAATAATGTTTGTTAAAGCGAGCAAAATTTTAATATAAAAGCGCTTATAAATCTACGCATATTGGCTCAGCTTGGCTTGGCTCGGCTTGGAATCGGATGTTAAGCAAGGTGTGGTCTCAAACTATTTTGAATTCTCCTCGAAATATATTAATATAAATATATACATATAAATAAATATATATATAAATATATATATAAATAAAGTAACTAGAATCCATGTATACAACTAATCAATAAGATTATATGTTTATATAAAAAGCAATATAGCAGATTCAACCAGCCAATGAGAATGCTTCGAAGGCGTTCGTTCGATGACGTCAATTTAGTACGGTTAGCATTGTGGTTAAGACTGTATAATAGTGTAGTACATACATTAAATAAGTTTTTTATGATGTGAATGATTGAAATGATGGAAATGTATGGTTGAAACGAGTATAAATAGGAGCTGAGAAAACGTTGAAATCAGATCAGGCATTTCTGCCTCGCTCGAGTCGGAGTGTCTGATCTCATTTTTTTATATTTATATTTTTTTAATTTATTTATTTTTATTTAATTTTATATAGAGTTATATAGAGTTATATAGAGTTATATAGAGTTATATTATATAGAGTTATATAGAGTTATATAGAGTTATATAGAGTTATATAGAGTTATATAGAGTTATATAGAGTTATATAGAGTTATATAGAGTTATATAGAGTTATATAGAGTTATATAGAGTTATATAGAGTTATATAGAGTTATATAGAGTTATATAGAGTTATATAGAGTTATATAGAGTTATATAGAGTTATATAGAGTTATATAGAGTTATATAGAGTTATATAGAGTTATATAGAGTTATATAGAGTTATATAGAGTTATATAGAGTTATATAGAGTTATATAGAGTTATATAGAGTTATATAGAGTTATATAGAGTTATATAGAGTTATATAGAGTTATATAGAGTTATATAGAGTTATATAGAGTTATATAGAGTTATATAGAGTTATATAGAGTTATATAGAGTTATATAGAGTTATATAGAGTTATATAGAGTTATATAGAGTTATATAGAGTTATATAGAGTTATATAGAGTTATATAGAGTTATATAGAGTTATATAGAGTTATATAGAGTTATATAGAGTTATATAGAGTTATATAGAGTTATATAGAGTTATATAGAGTTATATAGAGTTATATAGAGTTATATAGAGTTATATAGAGTTATATAGAGCATAAATCCTATATAGATACCTTTCTTTAAGGTTCTTTTCATTGCCGACCGGTCGGCTTCTTTGCGTTTCTCTATTTTCATTTAAATTAATTAAATAAATAAGATTTTTCCATTCATTTAGGTTTATTCAGGTTCATTCAGGTTCATTCATTCAGGTTGAGGCTTCTAGAGGAGTTCATCGTGGAAGATCAGAATGGTTGTGATGTCACGCTACGTTCGTTCATTCAGTGGCAAACAATGCACGCCTGGCTGGGGTTCGTTTTACGGTTTCTTTGCGGTTCCTTTTTTTTGCCAGTTACAGGCTGTTGCGGCTGGCGGGTTTCACCGCGGCTCGTTTTTCTACTTTCATTTAAATAAATTAAATAAATAAGATTTTTTCATTTTATTCATTTCATTCAGGTTGAAGTTTCCAGAGGAGTTCATCATGGAAGATGTCAGGCTACGTTCATTCAGTGGCAAAGAACACACGTCTGGCTGGGATACGTTTTATTCTTTTTTCTCTGTTTTTCTATCTAATTTAACATTAAGTAAGAATGCATACACGCACACACATACACACACAATTACATTAAGTAGCTATATAGGTAGGTTAGATAGGCATAATTTTAACTGTAGGTAGGATAGATAGGAAGCATCCAACACTAATGTAGTTGAATAGGTAGGCGCGTAAGTTTATCTCTTCTGTTTTTTCTTGCACCCACATTACACGCATCAGCGTATTACACACACACACAAATACATACATAAACACATATGTTAGTATTTGAGCGTAATTTTATTTCCATTACACATTCTAATTTATTATTACTAAGGTTGAGAGTAATTTAATTTCATAGGTAATTAAGGGCAATAATGTAATTCTAGGAACAATCTTGTAATGTAAATTAAAACGCTGTAAGTGTATCGATAGGTAGGCTAATATAAGTTTTACATTATTATTATTATGTTGGAGCCCAAGGCATTACGTAGGTGGTGGGGTGGGCGCCGATTGGCTAAATGAATTGGGCTCTTGAGTTTGTAATTTTAGGTAAGCTAGGACCGTAATGTAATGAATAGGTAAGTTAAGGCTACGTTGTAACACATACTCATTAATAGATTTAGGGTTTAAGTTTTATATTATTATTACTAAGTTGGAGCCCAAGGCATTACGTAGGTGGTGGGGTGGGTGCCGATTGGCTAAATGAATTGGGCTCTTGAGTTTTATAATTTTAGGTGAGCTAGGGCTTAATTGTAATGAATAGGTAAGTTGAGGGTACGATAGCCGATTGACTCTGGATTTCAAAGTCTCTTGTCAGAGGTAAGCCTTGGTGGCCAGTGGTGAACCGGCAATGGTTTACTATCCGGACGGCAATGGTTTACTATCTGCACGGTAATGATTTATCATGCGGCACGGCCATAGTCTACTACCCGCACGGCTTCCGGACGGCAAATGGTTTACTATCCGCACGGCAATAGTCTACTATCCGCACGGCAATGGTTTACTATCCGGTGCCCTGGCTGTCGGTGAACCTCTGTGCAAGGAGGGAGAATGAAGGGGGACTTTCGACTATCGTACCATTATTAATTTAATATATATTAGTTAAGGTAATTGAATAGGTAGATAGGATTATTTTTATTAAGCAATTTGAGATGCAGGCACCGCTAAGCTTTCTGATGAGAATCTTCTCTTTATTTTTCTTCCTCAATACGGGCTGTGTTTCATCAACAATCTCGGGAAGACAACGTAGGAACCGGACCGAATTCAACATTCTGCCTTTGTCGAATGGACGACGGTAAGTTTTTTTTTACATTTTACTCTCTTTATTATTTTAAAATACTATTTATTTGCCATTATTTTCATTTAAAATTTTTTTGCTTTTAAGATTCTAACATTTACTACGCTAATAAAAAAAATTGTCTACAGAATGATGAGAGGTGGGCAGTGGTGGGCGTCAGCACGTTTCAGATGGTGGTCTCTCGTGATGATTTACGTATGAGGATGGTGGTGGTGTAAGAAGAATCAGCGCGTTGGCTGTTCGACTGACACTCAGAAGTTCGGATGACATCTTGTGTGCCGACCAGATGATGGTGGTCGGTGCAATAGAGTACAGAAACTAAGATTTTTGAAGTAAGGAAGGTTTAGTTTCGTTTGTTTTATTTTTCTCATTCATTCATTTTTCACTCAATCTTTCAAATTATTCTTTCATTAATTGACGTTAATTCATTCTATTCATTCATTCATTCTTTTAACTAATTATTTAATCATTCAGTTAATCATTTATTCGTTCGTTCCTTTGTTCTTTGATTTACTACTAAGCTAATAAAAATAACTTTTCTACAGAATGATGAGAGGTGGGCTGCACGTTTCAGATGGTAGTCTCATGATGATCGTTCCGATGACAATTTGAAGAAAACAACGATTTTTGAAGTATGGTTTGTTTCTTTTTTTTTATTTTTCTCATTCAAATTATTCTTCCATTAAAAGATTCATTGATTCAGTCTATTCATTCATTAAATCATTGATTGATTAATTAATTAGTTAATTAATTAATTAATTCAACCAATCATTCAGTTAATCATTTATTATTTATTAATCAAAAAAACTTGTCTACAGAATTATGAGAGGTGGGCTGTGGTGGGCGTCAGCATGTTTCAGATGGTGGACTCATGATGATCGTTCCGATGACAATTTGAAGAAAACAACGACGATTTTTGAAGTATGGTTTGTTTCTTTTTTTTATTTTTCTCATTCAAATTATTCTTCCATTAAAAGATTCATTGATTCAGTCTATTCATTCATTAAATCATTGATTGATTAATTAGTTAATTAATTAATTAATTCAACCAATCATTCAATCATTCAGTTAATCATTTATCATTTATTAATCAAAAAAACTTGTCTACAGAATTATGAGAGGTGGGCTGTGGTGGGCGTCAGCACGTTTCAGATGGTGGACTCGTGATGATCGTTCGATGACAATTCGAAGAAAACAATAATAAATGTTAACGGGAAATTTTTTGCCGTCGTACCTTAGAAAGTACTCGAATTTGAACAAAGAATTGGAATGTTTTGGAGTGATTGGGTGGATTGTTATCTCAGTAAGATAAGTTGCTTACTGCCTTTTTCCAATGGCTTGGTTTTTTATTTAAAAAAATTTTTTTTTCAGATTTAGTGTTTCTCAGTACCCGGTCAAATTCATGATGCGTGTCAGATGATGGTCGGTGCAGTGGGTAGTGAGTGAAGAAGTTTCTGGAGAGTACACACGCGAACATTTACAAACACATATCAATACAACACACACATACACAACATCCATTCATTCGGTGTCGTTGTTGTTATGTTTCTCTTCAACTTTCTATTTTTTTTACCGGACTTTAATTTAATTCATAGGTAAGTTAGGGATTGAGATGAGTTGAACAATCGTAGGTAGGCTAGGGCTTAACATTAGTTTAAAAGTTTCAACTACAATAAAAACACTAAAATATGTTAAATAAAATACCTGAAACTTGTAAAATTCTTAATGTAGAAATGCCAATTTGTAGGTAGGAAGATGAGTTGATTTAATCATTATAGGTAAGCTAGGGCCCTGAGAGTAATTTAATTGTAGGTAGGTGACTGACTACTATTCTTGCGACTTTTTACTATTTTTTTTTGTGATGTGTTTGTTTTCGCTTCACACCACCACACCACACCAACAAAACAAACAAAAATTTTTTATCGTCGTCGCCTTAAATTTTACTTTTATGAACAATCTTTTATATAATGTCTAATTTATTTATTTATTTGTTTGTTAAATGTTGATCGGTTTCTAACTTAAATGATAATTAATTTTTATTGGTCGATATTTCGTTATGTTTGTTTGCTTAAAATTCGAACGTTATTAATTTTTTGTCTTTGTCCATTTATGGATGATATCAAATAAAAGGAACTGTTGTGTTTTTCTTTTCTTACTTAAATCTCGAAATTGTTTGCAGATATGTACATTTTTTTATATTTTTTTTCCGTTTTTTTTTTCATAATTCAATTTTCGTTCGTTCGTCTAATTTGTTCATTGGTTCGTTCATTTGGTTCATTCAATTTGGTTCATTGATTAGTTGATGGATTAATTGATTAGCCGATTGGCTGGTTGATTAGTTGATTGAATAAATGATTGATTGAATGGTTGGTTGGTTGGTTGGTTGGTTGGTTGGTTGGTTGGCTGGTTGGTTGGTTGGTTGGTTGGTTGGCTGGCTGGTCGGTTGGTTGGTTGGTTGGTTGGTTGGTTGGTTGGTTGGTTGGTTAAATCACTGACTGACTGATTGATTGATATATTGCTCTGTTGTATTAAACGTTTTAATTACTGTATTGTTTTAAACATAATAAGTCAAGTAAATATTTCATGTAGTTTGCTTGTAAAATCATTTTCAATATTATACATACGCCGTTTTATTCTCTATACATATATGATATATGTCTAACTCATATGTCACAATGTAACATCTTTAGTATATCACAATATGTGCAATATTATTCATGAAATTAAATAAGAATTTAAAAGAATGGTTAACAGATGAGTGAATTAAATGTCCTTTTAAATGAATTATTCAAAATTATTCATCCTCTTTTAAATGATCACCTCTCTTGCCCCAGCCTCTCCTCTTGTAAACTTCTTCAAATATTCTTTTGCCCCACCCGCGTCTTTTCGGGAAGCCATTATAACATGGATACTCTTCACAGTCGACATGGACCAATGAATTTTGTGGCAGAAGTCCTAACGGTTCGTCTTCGGAGTCGTCGAATGCAAACTCGGGATCATTGACGACTGTTGGAGATTTCTGCTTCGTATGTCGTTTTGCCCATCCGCGATGCTTCTCAAAGTTTCGTTTCTCGAGGTTTGATGTAGTTTCTGGGCAAGTGATTGGCTTTGATGTCTCTTCCGACAGACAAATTTGTAAGTTATGAAGTTGTAGAAGTAAAATATTTATTAAAATTAATGAAAGATAATTCATTTTTGATATTTTAAGATTCGAAATTCTTTACGCGCAAAATTTCCGTTGAAAATTTGCCTATATATATACATTGAAGACAGCTGAATATAACATTGACTTTAGTTTTTTACATTCTGCCCTCTGTTTAGACATTTAATTTCTAATTTATTTTAAAATGTCAATGGAACTAAAACTACGGAAAAAACTAATTTGTCATTAGAATTCAGTTAACTCAACTTGAACAGATGTGTGGATTAATTTGAAATTTTGAACGTTTGAAAAGTTAAGAACGTTCAATTTGCTGATTACTGACCTACGTGTGATGAGTTTATTCACTTGAGATTTGACGGAGAAAGCTTTTAAACTAAATGCTCTTGAATGTTTCTCACGCATTCAATCAATTTTTTGAAGAAAGAAAAAACTCGACAAACTCTAAAAACTTATTTTATTTAGAGTTAAATACACGGAGTTGAATGTTTTTGGAGATATCCGACCACAAAGCCTTCCACCATTAAACATTTCAATTCCGAATAAAAAAATTAAAACACGCTAATAATAAATTAAATTACTTCAATTAGACAAATGAAAATGAAATGAAATTAATTCTCTTTAACGAGTGTATAGTTTGGTAATATCGAATCGATATCGGTAAAATCGATAACTCGAAAAACTCAAACAAGAACCGAACAATACCGATCAGACTTGCTAACGAATAGAAACAAAAATAAAACTCTCGAAACCGATTTTCGTTCGAATATTATCACTGATACCACTTGTGGCATGCGGCATCCTGCTGTACAAATTGATGGTCGGTATCAATACCGGCTTCGATAAGACCGGCTACACACGGTTCCGGTTCCTTTCTCGTAAATTCGTTCTTGTATTCGGTACAACATTCTAACGGAGCACCTTGGTTGGGGAATAGTTGTAGGTTATTTTTTAATAATTTTTTTATCTGTGAAAAAAATTGCCTGGGTTTTTAAATTAAATTTTATTTTAATTATACATTAATTGAATATTCTCAAATTTAATCACAAGAAATTGAAGGTAATAAAAAAAGGAAAATTTGAAAGAAAAATAATTTAACAAAACTCCTTACAAGCCAGGTAGGCGGCCACATTTGGTTTTTTACTCTTCCTAGCCGCCCAACCCTTCCTGATGAAATCATTTCGATAGCTCGTGATCCCACAGAACGGATCAGAAATTGGGATGTAAGCCGGAGAGATGTGCTTGTGAGGTCTGCTGGCGTCCCATCTCTGAAACTCCGTCTTGTAAGTTGTGTTGGCGTTGAAAGGGGCCAAGATGCATTTCAATTTTTCTCTCTGTAGTAAGCGAGAATGAATAAATGGATGAATGGATACAAAGAGAAAGATAGATGGATATGCAGACAGACAGATAGACCAAAAAACTGGTAAAATAAATTTAAAATAATATTTTTGTGAAATTTTTTTCGAACCTACCTTTGGCACAACTTTAACTACTTCGATGGGTTTCCTGGTGTATTCCAATTTGTGAGTCGTGTCACACGTCATCTGGCCCTCTATTGGAACATATGGTTCGGCCTTATGTTTGTAAGCTGCCTGTAGAGGCCACCTAGAGAGAGAGAGAAAGAAAGAAGAAATTGTGTGTATGTGTATTTGTGTGTGTGTATTTGTGTGTGTGTATGTGTGTGTGTGTTTGGGTGGTTTCATGAGTATGTGTAGTTAATTCTCTCGCAAGTACTTGTTCCTATTTCAATATGTGTTTGTAAATTGTGCAAACTCGCCCAATAAAATTACTCAATTTTGTTATTATTCTTATTATTCGTCTGGTAATTATTAATATTTATAATTATTATTAGTTAATATTACTATTAATTATTACTATTAATTATTCATTCAATTATTCGCATTTATGTACCTGATAAAATCTGTCCTGTTGGTTGTCTTATCGTCAATTGGCTCCAAAGCAACGGACGGTTTGACGTCAGGTTTGCAGCTGGCCACCATTTCTTACAAATTATTATAATTATTTATTATTATTATTTATTATTATTATTATTATTGTTGTTGTTATTATTTATTTATTCTCGAAAGTATGCAAAAAACAGTATAAACGACCAGAATAAAATGAAATATCAAAACAATAATTTAGAAAATGTATCCTGAAACCAATTTCTTTGCGAATGAACTCAGTCCTGTAGACCGTTTTATCATCAATGGGGCAGGATAGGGGGTGGTATTCCTCCTTGATCCCTACGGATTTTTCCGGAAGGGGGTGTCTGATGAATTGATCCCTATGTTCCGTACTTGTGTCAAGTGGCTCCGTAGATAGTGTCGCAGATATGTCGGGTTTTTTGGATTTTCGGTGCTGTGTATTTTTATATTTGTGTCTTTGTTTGTATTTACAAATGTGTGTTTGCTTGTATGTGTGTATGTATATATGTATGTAAATATGTGTAGGTATGTGTATATGTATGTAAATGTATATATTTGTATGCGTATATGTACAGGTATGTGTGTGATGTTTTGGAGTTTAGCCTTAATTTGAAAACTATGTTCTCTAACATTTAACACAAAACTTTCTTTGAAAAATATTGTAAAAAATTATAGGAAAAAAAACCTACAGAAGAAATATGCCTGACGTAGTTAGTCTTATAAATAGTGGCCCCATCGAATGGGTCGGTGTTTGGGTGGTAGTCACGGATGACTTTTGCCTTCTCAAACACTCGTGGCCAACGTATGTAGTCAGCTAAATTAACAATTCACACACACACATATACATACGTATATAGGAAACGAAACGAAACGAACATACCTCCAAACGTACATACAAACATACTTTCATTTGAAGTTTGAAACATACATTCAAGCATGTATACATAGATAGGTGGAAACTAACTTTTATTTGAAGTTTGACCTTCGAATGGAGGTAGGCACATCCTTTTTAAATTCCTCTCTGTCTGTTTTGACGGGTTGATCGGCTTGCCTTCCAATTTTATTAGAGACACATACACGCTATTTTTAAAACACACACACATTTACATACATATTCATACGCACACATACATACACACAAACACACACACATACATATTCACACGCAAACATACACACACACACACACACACATACGTGTATATTCAGCCTTATATACAGTGCATCCTTCAAATGGGTTGTCAGGCGGATGATAAGGGTCAGGGACATGACGATTTGGCTGATCCAAAGGATGTTTTACAAAGTCAACTCTGTATATATATGCGTGTGTGCGTGCGCGTGTGTGTGCGTGCATGTGTGCGTGCGTGAGTGTGTGTTTGTATAAGTGCAAACTGACCGATTAGTTGTCTGATTGCTGATTGGTTCGCACGCGAGCGAAGCGCCTACTTCCGGTTTGCATGATTTGACCTGATGAGGATGATGATAATTGTGAGGATGATGATGAGGATGATGAAGAAGAGGATAGTACAGATGATGATATGATGATACAGCTACTGATGTTAACATTACCGGCTCAATTTCTTTTCTTATGTACGTGGTTCGGTATTCGCTAGCCGGACAAATACCGCAAGAATCGGTTTTGAAGGTACAATTCTTTGGACAACGATGGCGACTGAATGGTTGATGAAATAAATTAATGACTAAGCAAACGAATGCATGGATGAATGAATGAATGAATGAATGAATGAATGAATGAATGAATGAATGAATGAATGAATGAATGAATGAAAGAATGAATGAATTAATGAATAAACGAGTGAATGAATGAAATATTTTTCAAAATAACCCGCAACTGCACAGCTGGCACAGACATTTTGGTTTCATTTTATTGAAAGTATTAACTCAAAGCAGAGCATGAACTTCAGTTATCTTCTCATCAATCTTTACTTAACTCAAAATTTTAAATGGCAGTTTGTAATAAATAAACAACAAATAACAACAACAACAAAAAATGACGTCATCATCGAAAAAACAGAAAAAAAAGCTCAAGATACTTACTTACACACACATATACACGTACACACACACATGAATATTCATATATAAATATATTTATTAATGTATATTGTATATACAACATATAGGACATCAATATGGGCTTTTTTTTCAATGAAACCTCTTTCTAAAAATTTTCATTTGTTGATAAAGTTATCTATGGCTCAGAAGTTTCTGTTTACATTTAAAAAGTGAATTTTAATCTCAAGTAAACATAGGGGGTGTAGGTCTTTAATTAATATTAATTACACTGAAATACAGAGTTTCACTAACCAAAATGACGAAAATGACGGATAACAACGTTTATGAGGTTAGTAACTAATTAATCATTTTTTTTTAATATTTCATACTTGGTAAATAATTTTTAAAGTAAAGTTTACAAAAAACTCTCTAAAAATCTTTTGTAAAGTCAAGTCATTTTCACTTTTTTTGGTTTGGCCTAACACTATTGAATAAAAAAGCATCAATCCATACACTTTACTTTCAGAATAAGGGCTGGTTGGATTAATTTAATTTTTTAATAGTTTGTTATTTATTTGTGTTTAATCTTTAATAATTATTAATTAATGATTTGTTTAAAGTTTTTTATGTGTAGTAAATTTACTAAATTTACTGGTTATATTTACACACACGCACACAAACAAACACACACACACACACACACACACACAGACCTACTATGACCATGGGTACTAATAGAATAGCATTATTGCTAAAAAAAATGAAAATAAATTCCACCAACTAAACTTTGTCTCCCAAATTAGTATGATGTTAAAGAAGATGAAGATCAAAATTTAAAATTACAAGAAACCATCGAATTATTGGTGGCGTCGGGGTTCTTCAGGGCCAGAATCAAGGGCCTATCTCCATTTGATAAGGTTCCGCTTTCTGCTATAATAATAATTGATAATTATTATTATTTATTATGATTTATTATTATTATTATTTATTATTATTATTGTTATTATGAAGGTGGTTGGAGGTATGGTCTGGTGCATATCTGTCTGCAGTTACGACATCAATGTCGACCTGTTTTTTCAAGAGAACTCCACCATTGGTCAGAAGATGTTAGTTATGATTATGATGATTGTGATGGTGCTGATGATGATGATTGTGGAAATGATGATGATTGTGGAGAGGATGATGGTGATGACGATGATGAGGTGAGGTGAGGAGGGAGGTGGTGTATTTTTTTTCATGTTTCGTCGAAATCATTTTCATCGCATCATCAGCGTCGTCATCATCATTGCCCCCACCACCACCACTACCATCATTATCATAACTCAAATTAGTGCCCTAACTGAGAAAATAGTGAATGTACTGAACCTGATGAAATGTCCTCACCGAGTCGATCCGCACCAAATTCAGGGCTTAGATTTCATCCATATCTTCCCTGTCGTTCAAGTTTGTTTTGCGTTGTTGTGATTTCATGCATTCATTCATGCATTCATTCATGCATTCATTCATTCATTCATTCATTCAATCATTCATTCATTCATTCATTCGCAATTAATATTCAGTGGTTGGTGAAAAAAGCCATAGAGAGCAGGAAGGATTATGAAGACGAGAACAGGAGCCATGCATTAATGCACTTTAATAGGATAATGCATCTGTCTTGTGTTAGTGTGTGTGTGTGTTTGTTTGTGTGTGTGTGTGTGTGTGTGTGTGTGTGTGTGTGTGTGTGTGTGGGTGTGTGTGTGTGTGTGGTGTGTGTTATTCAGTTTTTTTGTTTCAATAATAAATATTACGATAATGATATTAATACTGATAGGATGAAGATAAGGAAAGAGTGAACAGAGTCGCTTCAAACAACATACAATCAATTGATGTATGTTTGTCTGTATGTTTGTCTGTATGTTCATTCGTTTTTTCGTTCGTTCGTTTGTTTTTTTTATGTATGTATGTTTGTATGTATTCATGTATGTATGTATGTATGTAAGTCTATAAGTTTTTATGTATTTCTCCTTTTCTTTCTCTCTCTTTTTCTCTCTTTCTCTCTCTCTTTTCATTTGGTCAAGTTTTAAATAATGTTTTGTTTAACGTGTTTTTGACTTAATTTCTCTCTCTCTCTCTCTATCTCTCTCTCTCTCTCTCTCTCTCTTACTTTCTCTTACTTTCTCACTCTCCTCTCTCTCTCCCATCACACCACAGCAAGCTTTCCTGCCCCAGAGATATTTCAAAAGAGCAGACGATGGAAATGTGAACCTGGATGAATGTATGCAGGTCCAGTCAACGCTGTTGGAGTATGGAAAGTCGGTTGTTGTTTTTGTTTTATTTATTTTAAAAAAAAATATTATTTAGATTGATGCTGTTTTTGATGATGTTGTTGTTGATGTTGATGTTGTTTTTGATGTTGTTGTTGATGTTGCGATTTTTTTCATTCTTATCAACAGAAAATATTATAGTTCTTCATCTACAACAACAACAACAACGTCAACAACAACATCAACAACAACAACATCAACAAAATTTGTCGACGTTAAACAGCAACATCAACAACAACAACGACAACAAAGTTTGGATTATGATCAAGAAATGGTGGGTTTTTAGTTTTTAAACGTTTTGAATTGTTTATAACAACAACATCCACAACAACAACAACAACAACAACATCAGCAACAACAACATCAACAATTTCATTGAAGATCCAGGTGAATGCCCTGATGAGTAGCATGTCTACAACTGATCTGAAAAAGGTTTCGAAAGAATGAAGGAGTGGTTGGATAGATGAATGAATGAATAGATGGATGAATGTATGGTGGATAGATGGATGAATAAATAAATGAATACATGAATGACTGAATTTTCATTATTTTTTGCCGTAGTAGTTATAATTAAGACAACATCATCTTAATTACCAAGTCAACAAACTTACCATCATCACAATCATCACCGCAACCGTCATCATCATCATCGTCATCACCATCATCATCATCGATATCAGAACTCCATTGCACCGGAAGTCCTCAGTTCGCTTGTTTTGAATCATGCAGATGAGATAAACAAACTCATCACACATTACGATGAACAAGTGAGTGAACGAACGAACGAACGATAAATGAATGAGTGAATAAATGAATGAATGAACAGCTAAGTAAAGAATCGGTGAATGAATAAATTGATGAAGTATATTTTAAAAAATATTAATAAAAATATTCCCAGAGATTGAAAGAGGAAAAAGGTCATCACGTGACTGGCAGGAAAAAGATCGCGTCCTTGAAGCAGGACGTTGAAAAGCTCAAGTCGAATATACATGAGGTTATTTTTTTTTTTATCTATGTTTATCCTAAGTATATTGTCATATCTATGGATGTTCATTATCTTTGTTTCTGTATTTTTATGGTTTATTTGTTGTTTTTGGTTTAGCTGGACAGTGAGAAGGCGATGTTGGAAGAAGAAGCTGAAGAATGCGAACGACAATTGAAACCGGTATACTGTTGTTGTTGATGTTGTTGTTGATGATGATGATGATGTTGTTGTTGATGATGATGTTGATGACGATGCTGATGATGATGATGACAATGTTGATGATGATGATGTTTTCTTAATGAAGTTATTAGATGAACAAGTGAAATTGAACAATCTCGAAAGGGAACTTTATGACGTTGAAAACGAAGCTAACAATAAGAGGTTGGTTTTCTTTCTCTTCTTTTACTCATTCATTCATTCATTCATTCATTCATTCACCAGTCAAATGGATAAGTTGAGTTCTTTAGTCAGCAGGAGAGAGGAGTTGAAAAAAGAAGAAAGCGCTTTTAAAGAAAAGTGTTTGGTGAGTTCATTCGTTCATTTGTTCACTCGTTCACTCACTCATTCATTATTGTTTTTTCACTCTTTCTCTCTCAAAACATAACATACAAAAATATAAATACCTTCTCGCAATATGATTGGTCGAACAGATTGAACAGTCCAAACTCGAAGACGCAATTGGCCTGCTGAAATCACGTGATCAGTCGGTTGATCAACAACAAATGGTATAGTGATGATGATGACGATGATGATGATGATGATGATGACGACGATGGTGATTTTTTCTTTCGAAGTCTACAGAGTTAGAAGAACTAGAGCAAGAGTTAGCGGATAGTGTTGAAAAACTTAAAAAGATCAGATTGATATTGGTTCGTTGTTGTTGTTGTTGTTGTTGTTGTTGTTGTTGTTGTTGTTGTTGTTGATGTTGTTGTTGTTGATGTTGTTTGCGCTGATGTCAATGCTAGTTGTATTGCAACAAAAATTTTACCGTCGTTATTCTTACTGATAATAATAATAATTATAATTATGATAATTATTATGATTATTACTTTTTTTAAAATATTTAGGCGCGAAAAAATCGAGAAATTTCTGGACTCCAAAGGCAAATCGACGACGTTCCGAGTCGGGCCGAACTTAATCAGTACCAATGCCGATTCATTGAGTTGCATAATCAAGGTTCTGATTGGTTGGCTGGTCGGTTGGTTGATTGGCTGATTGGTTGGTTGGCCGGTTGATTGATTGACTGGCTGGTTGGTTGATTGATTGATTGATTGGATGATTGGTTGGTTGGTCGGTTGATTGATTGATTGGCTGATTAGCTGGCTGGCTGGTTTGTGGTTGGTTGATTGGTTGGTTGATTGGTTGATTGATTAGCTGATTGGCTGGTTGGTTGGTTGGCTGTTTACAAAAATCAACTCACCAACATCAACTCTGACGTCACAACATCAACTCTGACGTCACAACATCAACTCTGACGTCACAACATCAACTCTGACGTCACCAACATCAACTCTGACGTCACCAACACCAACATCATCGTAAGTAATCGTCATTACATCAGTTTCGTGGAAGCACAAGGAGACCAAGCAGTATTTCGCCCTCTACAATACCCTCGAAGATACGAGGATGTACATCAATAAGGAGGTCTTTCCATAGATATCAAATGCTGTTTACATAGATAAATAAAATGTTGATTACATAGATACAAAATAACGATAATAATAATCACAGTGATAGTTACAGTAATTATTGTTTATATTTTTCATCCAGGTTAACTTGCTGAACTCAATACATGACAACTTCGAAAGGTTTTAGGAATGATTTTGCTTAATATTCTAATCATCATCATCACCAACAACAACATCATCATCATCATCATCACCAACATCATCATCATCACCAACAACAACATCATCATCATCACCAACAACAACATCATCATCATCACCAACACCAACATCATCATCATCACCAACACAAACATCATCACCAACAACAACATCATCATCACCACCGACAGAGCCATGCAGTCGGAGAGTCAGAGGACAGCCTTCATGAAACAGTTGGACCAAATAGTTGATGGCGTTAAACAGAGTAAAATAAAAGTAAGTAAGATGGATGGGTGGATGGATGGATGGATGGATGGATGGGTAGATGGATGGATGGGTGGATGGATGGATGGATGGATGGATGGATGGATGGATGGATGGATGGATGGATGGATGGATGGATGGATGTGTGGATGGATGGATGGATGTGTGGATGGATGGATGGATGGATTGATGAATAAGTGAATGCATGAATGTATGCAGTCCCATTACAAACATGTAAAAAAAGGGCGCAAACTCAACGAGCAAATGCACGCACACGTACACGCACACACACACACACACACACGCACACACACACACATAGAAGCAAACAAACCAAAAAACACAGGTTGAACGTAAGAAACAGGATTTAAAGATGACGCTGAGCGAGCTGCAAGATAAACTCAACGAAGTATTGGACAGGCAAAGACTTTATTTCAAAACTGTGAAGGATTTCCAAGACGTTAGTAATTGTCGAACCAGTAGTGAATTAATTAGTGAATGAATGAATGAATGTTGATTGGATGAATGAATGAATGTTTATTGGATGAATTGATAGACTGGTGAATGAATGAATAAATGAATGAATGAATGAATGTTGATTGGATGAATGAATGAATGTTTATTGGATGAATTGATAGACTGGTGAATGAATGAATTAATAAATGAATTAATTCATTTTTATACACGCTCATCTTATTTGTACATTTACACTTTAACTCATTTCTTTATTAGTCCATTAACTCATGTATCTTTTATTCATTTTCAATCCAACCAATCAATCAATCCGTCAATAGATCAATCCTTCCTTCATTCATTCATTCACTCATTCATTTATTCACCAAGGAGTGCAAGAAGAATGAATTGCTACAGATGAAACTGCAGCAACTGACATCGGCCTAAATCGACATAATTAATTATTATTATATTAAACGAAGTAATTTTTTATTATCTGCTTTTGTTATTATTATTTTTGCTATTATTCTTGCTATTATTATTATTGTTGTTGTTGTTGTTGTTATTATTATTATTATTATTATTGTTATTATTGTTGTTATTATTATGGATGGATGGATGGCTAAGGAAACGAATGAACAAATGAAATGAACGCGTATGCAGTTTATTGTAGGATCATCATTCTTTAAATTTTTAATACAAATTTTGAAAAAAGTAAAAGATAAATGCATTGACTGTTTAATGTTACACACTCTCTTTCTCCCTCTCTCTCTCTTTTTTCTCTCCTTCTTCTTCTTCTTCTCCTTCTCTCTTTTTCCAAATAAATTCATAAAAGACTATGATTAATGTCTAACAACAACAACAACAATAATAACAACAATAAGTATGTAAAATATGTAGCTACAGCACTAGCCTGGCTAGAGTTCCGACGAATCGAATGGTTATAAAATGTTGAGTAAAAAATTTGAATGAAAGAACGAACAAATGAATGAATGAGTAAATGAATGAACGATTGAATGAAGGAATGAACAGTGATAAAAATTTACCACACATACACACACGCGCACGCACATACACGCACACACAAATAGTTTTCATGGCGGATTAAATATGAATAATGCTCGTACTACTACTAAAAATAATGATAACAATAATAATATTAACAACTATAATAATAACAACAATAATGGCTTTAATGCAAATTTGGCTATTGGCCAAATGACGCTGTCAAAGCTAAGCTAAAGCAATGTACTATACACACATGCATGCATACATACATACATGCATACATACATACATACATACACACATACATACACACACATATACATACATTCACACATAATGTACATATATATATATATATATATATATATATATATATATATGGCAAATAAATTAAAAATCCCATCGTGTGAGCTGCTAACATTAAGACATGTTATATAAGATGTTTCAAAATGGCGAATAATCATTACGATAAATAATAACAATAATTTCTTATAACACCAATAATAATAATAATAATAACAAGATGATCTATAGTATGAAGCAGCTGAAACACATGTGCGTACCGATTTTCGTGCTAGTTATCCTGTTGAGTTTGTTGTGGCGACTGTTGTTCGCGGGCGGACCGAAAAAGAACTTTATCGCAAGTTAGAAAAGTATTTTTTTTTTTTATTTGAAATAAAAGATAAATGCTTTGGCTGTTTAATGTTACACACTCTCTTTCTCTCTCCTCCTTCTTCTTCTCCTTCTCTCTTTCTCTCTCTGTCTTCACTTAGCCTTCTCGATTCTAAGACCAAAAAGATACGTTTGTACTAGGAGCTGATCACACTGCTACAATGTATAATGGCTTGCTATGATTTTATAAGGTAGAACCATGGATTGGATATATTATATTACATCCATGGGTAGAGCCTTCACTGTCTGCTGAACTGTATAACAACAGAGGACATGAGTCACTCCTACAACAACAGAGGACATGAGTCACTCCTAAATGAATATTTAAGCACTTAACTCTTAAGATTATTCTAATTTGAAAATAAATAAGTTTTATTAATAATAATAAATTAAATGAGTTGAATTAAATAAATTAAATTAATTAAATTAAATTAAATATAAAAGAAATTGAATAAATTAAATAAAATAAATTTAATAAATTAATAATAATAAATTTAAAAAAAATTCCCACAAAGCCGATTGCTACTGGAACGTATCCATAAACTCGAACAAACCAGGAAGCTCCCCAGTTAGGAACGCTTCCACAGTGGGCCACTGCATGCAACGATGCTCTCAGGACCCAAAGTGCGACGGTTCGAATGCAAGCCTAGCCCTTTAACATTTTTTTAAAAATTTAGACATTTGTTTAAACTCATTTTATTTAATACTCCGTTGTTACATATTACTCAACAGATATTTCTCTATAAATTATTCTCTCTCTCTCTCTCTTTCTCTCTCTCTCTCTCTCTCTCACACACACACGCACGCACACACACACACACACAACAGAACCAACACATAAATAAGTTTGCAACATTTTACTCCTTTTTCTTCTAAAGTTCTCAACACAACAACAACAACAACATTGAAACAATCAATATATTTTCATGCATGTTCGCATGTCACTTGACCCTAACCCTAATCAATACATTTAGCACCATCATCGTTGTTATCGTCTTCTTCACCATCATCATCACCACCACCACCACCATCGTCATCATCACCACCATCGTCATCATCATCGTGAACTTTTAGGTTTCGACTTCTCAGAGGAGAGTAGCGATGTCAAATGTTGGCTCGGTCAAGTTGGGGGCTTTGAGACGGTCTACAACAGGGCCCACAAGGTCGTCCACTATGATAAAGTTTGCGGAAGGGAAAAACCCAAAGATGAAGGTCAGATGGGGTCAGATGAAGGTCATGCATGGGGTCATACGGGGGTCATTAATTAATTTTCGTAGTGATTATTTGTGAATTAATTGTATACTTAAAATTTGAGAAAACCTTTGGAGTGAATTGCCGACTGACAATTAAATTTGTGACTTTAAATAGTAATTGTGTGTGTATGAGTTGGCAGGCGCCTACAATTTCACAGAATGTTCCTGGATGCTGACCCCCAACAAGCATTCCCTTGGTTCAAGTGTTATGGGGCACATACTGAACAAGAGGGACTGCCTGGCCGAGTGTAATTCAATCTGGAACTGCTGGGGCGTTGATTGGAATGAACATAACCCACAGAAGTAGTTCAATTTAAACATTTTTTTTTATATAATTTTAAAATAATAATAGTTTCTATTATTTCTCTATCTTTTTATGTTTCTCTTTATATTTCTCTCTTTCTTTATCTCATTCTCTCTCTCTCTCTTTCTCTCTCTCTCTCTCTCTCTCTTGATGGAATTGAGAAAGAGACAGAGATGGAATAGTCAATACTTTATAAAATAGTTGGCACATACTATGAAAATGTCAGGTAAGACGCTCCTATTTCTCTTTCTCCTCTCTCTTTCTCTCTTTTTCTCTCTATATATATATAAGGAAAAAGAAAGAGAGAGAGAGAGAGAGATTTCAATAACCAACCCAAGGGCAAAACTGCATAACAAATATCAAATAATAACGCCATATGTTTATGTTTATATAACTTAGTCATTGAATGTTTAGCCTCGAGCTAGGCATTAAATATTCGTCATTAGAGATTATTTTTCCTCAAAGTGTGAATACATTGAAAGGATGGATGGATAAACTGAGAACTAACACACACCAATAAGGTGCTGGCTGGCGAGTGATTACAGTCTAGACATATCCAACTCACCTGGGATTGATCATTATACTAAGATATGTGGAGCAGGTCTTTTCATTATTCTATTTTTACTCTGTCTTTAGCGCTATATAAATTGCCATTTTGTTGTTGTTATTATTATCATTGTTTTTGTTATTAACTCTCTTAAGTAATTCACACACACACACACGCACACACACACACGCACACACACACACACACACTTGCATGTGACAAGCGATGTTATCTCTTTACATCCAAACCTGATCGTCAATCACTGCCATCATCGTCACCATCCTCACCCTCATCACCACCATCAACCATCATCATCATCCACCATCATCATCATCAACCATCATCATCATCAACCACCACTACCACCACCAAAGGAATGACAACCCCTCCTACAACGACTCCATTCGGTCTCTTCATAAGGTCCATGACAACGGGTTGGTGTGTGTTTTTTTTACGATAAGTTGAATGTGATTGGCGTAGGTTTCGAGAGTTAATTTTTAAATTCAAGTTTTCAATTTAAGTATGCAGATGGAAGATGTACAGCAACAATTTCTCTCCGAATGGCGTTTTAAAACCAGCGTACAAGAATCTGAAATCCTGTCTAGACGGCTGTCTAGACACCCAATCATGTTTCTCCATAAGCTGGTCTGAAAAGTCAGACGAATGTTGGTTCTCCACTTCGGAAATGTTTGGCGCCAAACAGGGCTTCAAACATTTAAAATACGTCTGCAAACTCATTAAAAGTGAATTTAATATGAAAGCTGGCCTTAAAAGTTAACTATTTCATCCGGTTTTGTGAAAATGTGACAATTTTTAACATTTATCTCCATGAAATTTCATTTGTAAATAGTGTAAATAGATATATGTATATGTGTATATGTGTTTGTGTGTGTGTGTGTGTGTCTGTGTGTGTGTGTGTGTGTGTGTGTGTGTGTGTGTGTGTGTGTGTGTGTGTGTGTGTGTGTGTGTGAACATTTCATCGATAACATCGTTGTGTGTGATATAAAAAGCAGTACACTCGCATTGAAAATATTGTTAATACTTTGATTGATAAGAGAGAGACGGAGAAACACAAAGACAGACACAGACAGACAGACAAATTATTAAAAATATGTAAAAGATTATTCAAATAAATAGATCCTCTTTTAATTTATAAATTTAATCCAAAAATAGCAATTAAATAAAGACATCTTATCCGTTCTGTCATCAACTCATATGTTTATTCTCCCTCAAAACATTCATATAAAACCTTTCAGACCACCATAGAATATTCTAAATAAATCTCAACATCACTTATTATCGTTTTGTTGGGTTAGACTTTTTTTTATCTATGCGATAATATTCTTCATTAAAAGCTAATTAATGAGTTAAATGGACAGGTTCCTGATGTCATTAAGTATTAGATTAAAAAACAACATCGAAAGCAGAATTATTGAAAATAATAAATATAATTATAATAAAAATAATTATTATTGTTAATTATAAAATAATTATTCAAATAATATCAGATAATTATTCAAATAAAATCGAAAAATTCTATTTTCTTTATGGGGCGATGTTTCCGATCAACAACAACAGCGCTAAGCCTGTGTTTGAAAAATTTGAAATAATTATATTAATAATTAAAATTATTATATTTAAATAATATTAATTATTATTATTATTTATTATTATCTTAACGATATTCTTCTAACAAAAATCAAAATTTAACGAAAATTTCGATGAAGTTTAAAGATGAAAAACTTTGGATAAAAATGAACTCACCCATGATTGGAACAGCATAACGTACCGAAGCTAAGACGAGGAAATAGTTTTATTTTGTCAGAATTAACTTTTATTCATCATAAAATCGAATTTTTTCATTACGATATAAATTATTTTCATCAAAAAAAGTATAAAAAATGATAGGTAATTGTGAACTATATACAGACTTGAGGAACTTCTGTAGGTCGTCATCATGTTGCCTGCATTCATGAATGAGTGAATGTATGACTGAATGAATGAACGAACGAACGAATGAATGAATGAGAAAAAGAGAAAATAACACAACACGGCACAGTAAAAAACAGAGGGAAAGAGACTAAATCAACCCCATTATTAAAAAAAACTATTAACAACCCCTAAAAGGGCAAGTAAATTTTAAGACCAGCCGCAACCTCACCATAGCATGCGCCTGACATTTCGTAATGGTCGATTCCTAGGCTCGTGCTATATAAGGTGCCGCTAGTGGTCTGGTAACACCTCTGGCCAGCAGGGTTGAGAGAGTTGAAGTCGAACCCTGCATAAAATTCAAATCATTCCAGAATTTTCGGCTTTTTTGTTTCTGTTGCTTGCCACTAAACTTTTAACAACATATCATCATTTTCATCGTTATCATCATCATTTTCTTCTTCATCACCATCACCACCATCATCACCACTACCACCACCACCATCATCATCATCATCATCATCATCATCATGACTAGCCCATAGTACAGAGCAGTCTGTTGTTGTAGCAGTAGTCCTTGCAGTTGTCCAGGGTGTCGTTGGTCGGGGGGCGGATGGGGATGGGAATACCCCCTTTCGTCTGCGTGCTCGGATATTTGTTCCATACGCAATCAACCGGTACTGTGGTTGGGCGTTTTTATTATTTTTATTTTTGTTGTTGTTGTTGCTGTTGCTGTTGCTGGTGGTGGTGTTTTTATTCATCATTCATGTTCTTTCAACTCGGGTTTAAGTTCCATTCAAACACATTTAACTATGCCGTTAATGTTATTATTATTTAATGTTATTATTTTAATATTAATTAATGTTATTATTACTATTATTATCATTAATATTAAATAAAGAAAAATTATTATGAGTCTTATTATAAAATAAAAAACAATAATTTCAAACCAGTGAATGTGACTGCACTCGTTGGTCCGCTAGGCGGTTGTGTGGTAACTGCGTGTGCGTGTGTGTGTGTGTGCGTGTGTCTGTGTATGCGTGTGTGTGTGTGTGTGTGTGTGTGTGTGTGTGTATAAGTTGATGCATGTAGGTAGATTCAAATAACAATTGTTTGCCAAGCCAATGCCCAGACAGATTTCCGAACATACATTAATCAAGCCAAAAAAGCCACAAACATACAAATAAATAGAGAGTAATAGAGAGAAAGAAAAAGAGAGAGAGAGAGAGAGAAAGAGAGAGAGAGAGAAAGAAAGAGAGAGAAGGAAAGAAAGAAAGAGAGAATAAAACAAAAAACCAAACAAGCAAACACTGACAAACAAACAGACAGACACAGAAAAACTAACGAGGACACGAAATGAAGTAATGCAAAACACCGGCTGCCTCCCTCTGAACATTCATTGTAGATAGCCAGCACTTGATTCCACGGGAGTTTTTCTCATCCCAATCAAATCCGTACAGGCAGTTGTTGCTGCTAATACAAGTAGCTTGGCACTGATCCAGTGTGAATACGAGGGGCTGCTCTAACCCCCCTTGCGTGTTGGTGTTCTCTTTCGTGTACCAGGTACACAGACCCACAGCCAGATTTTGCGCTGCAGTTTGAAATTGAGCTACAGAAGAGAGCTGGGTTACAGTTGGATATTGAGCCGTAGTTGGGGATTGAGCTGTAGTTTTGAATTGGATGGATTTCGTGGTTGGATGGATTTGAGATTGGATGGATTGTGATATTGGATGGATTTTGGGATTAGATAGACAACATGAAATACAAAATTGTTTTTTCTTGTTAGTTGTTGAGTAAAATTAAAAAAATTTGCCAATTATATATTATTAAATTATAAAATGTATGTGTGTGTGTGTGTGTGTGTATGTGAGTCTGTGTGTGTATGTGTGTGTCTGTGTGTGAGTCTGTGTGTATGTGTGTGTATGTAAACGTGCGTGTGTTTGTATGTATGTGTGTCTGCCACTTACTCCAACAAACGAAACATTTAATGAAGAGAGACAGGAATATACAATACTTCAAAATCATTTTGTCGTTGTTGTTGCTGTTGTTGTTGATGATGTTGTTGTTGTTGATGTTGTTGATGATGTAGTCGTTGATGATGATGAAAAATAAAGACAGCTCCTGATATATGTATATAAATGAACCAATTAACCCAAAAAAACAGTTAAAAGATTAATTCGCTAAAATTAAAAACGAAACGATGATATGTTAAATATGTACAAGCTGACGAAAAAGTTAAGCAAATGATAGTAATATGTATTAACAGAACACCTCACTATTCAAGAGCTTTGGCTATCAGTCACACACACACACACATACATACACACAAATGCACACACACACACACACACACATATGTATATATATATATCACATACGCACACACTCATATATATATATATATATATATATATATATATATATATCCCATACATATATACACACACACATATGTATGAGAGAGAATTGTGAGAGAAAGAGTGAGAGAAAGAGAGAGAGAGAAAGAGAGAGAGAGAGAGAGAGAGAGAGAAGTTAAGTCATGCGTGTAATCGTGCACACATCTATAACGAGCATTTATTTAAAAATGAAAGACCAACTAATCAAATGATAATCTATATTAGTAATTTTTCAATTAAGTTACCTCAATTTGTTTTGTCATTTCAATTTCAAATCAAAATTAAATCCAAAATACTTTTTCAAATAGGTTTATTACTATTGAGAATAAAAGAATAATCTTGCCAACTGGATGAACTGCAAGACTATTCTATGATTGTTACAACACAATTATTATTGAATACACACACATACACGCACGCACACATATACTCACATATATACAGACACACACACACATACATACGCGCGCGCACACACACACTTTCCATTTAAATGTTCCTGTACTACTCCTTCAGCTGTATTAGAAAAATCAATTTCAAATAAATTACATAAAAATTATCTATCGTAAGAACAAAAAAAATATCACACACACACACGAACACACACACACACATACACACACACATACACACATCTAGAATGTTATTACATCAATCTTTGGTACATATGTGTATTTGCACAAGTCGTTTGAAGTTGAAAACGCCAAAAAGATTCTATACCTACAACAATCAATTTGTTACTATAATAATAATAATGATAATAACAACAAAAATAATAATAATAAAAATAATAATAACAATAGATTTACTATTCTTTATTATTGATTGTTTATTTCAATTCTCTTAATGTATTTGTATCATCTTATTCATTTTTGATGTTGTCCAAAAACTGCTAGACAAATTGTCGAAAAGAAACCTGAATGAATTAATGGATGAATTAATGAATAAATAAATTAATTAATTAATTAATTAATTATCGAATGAATGAATGAATGAATGAATTAGTTAATTTATCAATGAATTAATCAATGAATTCATGAACAGATGAATAGACAAATGAATGAATACACAAATTATACCTATCATGAAGTAATCAGGCTTTTTCAGGCCTGTAAACATGATGAAAAATTTTCAATAATCAAAGTTTAATTTGAAAAATGAAATTTATTTATTCATTTATTCGTTTACTCATTCATTCATTAGTTCGTTCATTCATTCATTCATTCATTCATTCGTTCGTTCGTTCATTCATTCATTCCTTCGTTCGTTCATTCTTTCGTTCGTTCATTCATTCGTTCACTTAATATTTTATACGTACTCAGTTCACTTTTCGGCGGGACCGTGGCTACATTGGTGTTTGAAGTTTGTAATAATAATAATAATAATAAAAATAATTATTAAAAATTTAATTATAATAATTATATTATTATTATTATTAAATTTTATAATGACAAATAATAATTTTTGGAACAACTTTTCATTCTCTACATTTGGAATTAAATGAAAATATGGAACATGTGGCGTAAGATTGAAGAGGTTAATCAAATATTAAAAACAATTTTCACTTATATACATAAAAACAGAGTAAAAGAGAGAAAGAAATAGGGAGAGAAAGAGAGAGAAAGAGAGAGAGAGAGAGAAAGAAAGAGTGAAGAAAATATAAAATGAGAGAAAGAAGGAAAGGAAGAGAGATATAGAAAAATGAAAAAAAATCCATGTAAAAAGATAGAAACATAAAGATAAAAAGAGATAAAGAGAGCAAAAGAGAGAGATAAGAGAGAAAAAGAGAGAGGAGAGAGAAAGAGGGAGGGAAAAAGCCCTTACCGTAGCAAGCAGAAGATAGTTGATAATGAGAGATTCCAGTAGCATTATAGAGAGTAGAATCAACGGACATGAAACATTTTTGGCCGGTTGGATTGTCCGGATTGTAATCAAACCCTGTGAAGTAGAAAGAGGGATTCATTCATTCATTCATTCATTCATTCATTCATTCATTCATTCATTCATTCATTTATTTATTCATTCATTTATATATTCATTCATTCATTCATTCATTCATTCATTCAGTCAGTCAGCATTTGTTTGTTCATTATTTCTTATCATGACATTGCCAATCAATAAAGCTAAAATCAAACAAATTTAGCGGCGAAAACACTAAAAAATCATCATCATTATCATCACAACAACATCATCATTATTATAATATCATCAGCAACAACAACAACCAAAAGAGCAAGTGACGTAGTTTTTGCAGAATTGTTGGCACTGAGTGACGTCATCGTCGTTGGTGACGTTCATTGGCCTACCACCAAGCGTGTTTCTATTCTGATATCTCATCCAGCCGCATGCAGATGGACCTTTTGTTGTTTGGGGTTTGCTATTAAATTAACAATACTAGCAACAACAACGGAAGCTTGTACAAACAATAATTACAACAAAAACTAATAAAAAACAACAACAACAGCAATTAACACAAACAATAACAACAATTAATACAAAGAACAACAATTTATACAAACAACAACAACAACAATTAATACAAACAACAACAACAGCAATTAATACAAACAACAACAACAACAACAACAATTAATACAAACCATAGTAACAACAACCTACTCATTTGATAGGCCACAGTTGTCGAGTAGTTGGAAAACATCGGTGGCACTGGGGTGCTTAGCGCTATAAAAATTTGTCGGCCATTTTGTTTTATTATTATTATTGTTGTTATTATTATTATCATTGTTGTTGTTATTATACAACAATTATGTTGTTAGTGCTAAATTGTTATTATCGTGAATAAACATAAACAACATCAAATGTTATCTCATCTATCAAAAACTTACGGTTGCAGTCGTAATGATTAACTTGGCTAGCGGTGCTCTTTTGGACGGATGTAGAGAACCAGCAGCGAGTTGCGGTCAGTCCGGATTCGTCCCAATCAATCCCATACTGGCAGTTGTTGGTCGAGGTTGAAGTTTCGCAGGCAATCCTGCAATCAGCTAGGGACGTGTAGGCTTGGGGGTTTCCATTCAGTGTTTTCGTGTTGTACATTACGGGCCAGGTGCACTTGTCCGCTGGTTTGGCAGTTGTAGGTTGAGGGATTAATAAAAAACGTTAACTACTTCTTCTGTTGCTACTATTGCTGCTACTGCTGCTACTACGACTATTACTGCTACTGCTGCTGCTGCTACTACTCAAAGCATCATACACTATTTTGCGTATGGTCACTATGAAATCGAACCCCGCAATTGCAACGCGAGACCAGGCATTAGTCAAAATATAATTAATCACGAAGAAAAAAAAAGCTAACGTTCACAATAATAATGATCGACCCTATTGGCCGATTGATAGTTGGTGCCTGTGGAAAAAAAACATCGGGTGGTCGCAGTGTCACTGCTGTCCCAATCGAACCCGTAAAAGCAGTAGTTCGTGTCCGGAGAATTTAGGCAGTTACTCTTGCAGGCTTCGAGGGTCGTGTAGGACTGAGGAGATCCGCCTAAAGTTTTTGTACCGGCGGAACTCGACCAAATGCATGAACTCTCTGTCGGAATGCAAGATTTGGCATATTTTTTATCGGTTTTTTGAGTTAATTTGGCATGTTTGTGTTAATTTGTTATCGGGTTTTTATTAAATTGTTTAAAAAATGCATTTCTTTAATTATTTTCAAGATATTACAATTCGCGTAATAAAAATTAAATTCTAAATTTCCAAAAAAAAGAAATAAAACCCCATTACAAACTTGTGCAGTCGTAATGATAAATACCCACGGCGTCGTATGTAGTGGAGCTAGTGGAGAACCAACATTTCAGTAGATTGCTATTCCAATCGAAGCCATTTTCGCAGTAATTCGTCGCCTGCGAGTTCAGGCATGCAGACTGGCAGGTTTCAATCGTGTTGAAGGATTGTTCGATCCCTCCGCGAGTGTTTTTGTCCTTTGTGGATCTCCAGTTGCAAGTATTGACTTTGGGGAGATAAATTATTTTAATATTTTTTTAAGTATTTTTGGTGATCTTATTGTTATTTTGTTCTTTATTTAAAATTTTAATTGATTTATTGATTAGTATTGATTTATTGATTATAGATTTAGTAGAATTGTATTTAGTAAATGTTACCAACACTGGGCTGAGCAATACTGAGTGAGCACCAGCAAGCAAATTATTCTCATCAACCTGGCATCCATTTTTTCAAAAGACATTTTTACTCGAAAATCAACAAAATTTTATGAAATTTTACAATTTTTTAATTAGTTAGGTTTAGAGATAATTAGTTAATTAATTAGTTAATTAATGAACTTATTGTTACGAAGAAAAAAACTGTTTAGAATTTTAGTATATTGTAATGTTCTTAATATAATTAACTCTATTAGACTTAAGAAATTTGTCACTTTGATATCAATCAGTAGGAGATCTGTTGTTCAGAGCTGCGTTATTTGGTAGTAGGTAGATATGTATATGTGTATGTATGTATGTATGTGTGTGTGTGCGTGTGCGTGCGTCAGTATGCATGCACATATGTATGTTTTATTGTTATACAGATATTTATACAACAGTAAACAGTAGAAGCGAGTTATTCATGCTAAGCCTGAAGCAAACTATAATACGTTGGGTGTTCCTCAAACGACTAAACAATATCACACTGTACAGATGAACTGTTAACTAATTTTAGAGATAGAGAGAGAGAGAAAGAGAGAAAGAGAGAGAAATATGGAGAAAGAGAGAGAAAGAGAGAAACTATGAATGATGAATCAACCAACAACGTAGTTTGTCCTGGACAATTTCTAAAGAGATGGAAAAAAAGATTAACGATGCTGAGATGTGGTTTTTGAGAAGAATTATGAAATTTAGTTGGACCTCTCATACTTCGAATGGGGATGTATTAATAAAACTGTCCGATTAGGAGAAGAGGAAATTACTGCAGATGATCCGACGGGGGCAGTTTAAGATTTTTGGTCACATCATGCGGAAAGAAAGAAAGAAATTCAAACAACTACAGGAAATATTGCAGAATGGGTTTCTTTGATGAAATTTGTTTGCGTTTTTGTGAACTTTTAGTGAAGATAATTTAAATTTTTCTCATTATTAAACGAAGAATTTTATCTATAGCGTTGAACATTACGTACTAATGCTATAGTTTTTGATATATTCTAATTTATCATTATATGTTACAGAAGACAGGCTATAGTTCAATTTTTGGAATGTGAGGCTGATATATTGATTTAAGCTGATAGTTCTCAATCACTTGAATACGAAAATTTATGATTTATAATGAAAATTTCGTCGTTTTTGATATATAGCACATGGATATCCATGATATAGTATCTTGAATTGACTAAAGAGATACCATTATGCGTTCACCCAGACTATGTTGATGACAAATTAAAATGCACTTGTACTCTTCTGTCGAGTTTTTAAACCCATGTTACTGAACTTGAGCTATAGTTCGAATCTTTTTCAATGTGACGCTAGTATAGAATTGAAAGAAAAAAAAAATTTTTTTTAGAAATAACTTGCATATTAATCAGAATAAAATAACATCAAATCATATTATAAAGGAAAATGTTAACATTAAAAAGGTTATTGTAACCAAAAAAAGTTAATAGTAACAGTTATAAAAATCAGGGTGTTGACAAATTTGGATCAAAAAAGATTTCAAAGCCCTCCAAGAATAAAATTGAGGTACGGGTTAAAAATTTTTTGCCTACACCACAGACCAAAAGCGTTATGTAAATAAATATTTGTTATATATATCTATAGTTATTTGTTCATCATTTTATTTAATTATCTATTAATTAAAGGATGATAATTAGATGAACATGCCAAATGAGAAGGTTTCGTTTTAACAGCACATAGTCATGAAATTAATTATAGAATTAACGATAGATTGTGCTAACAAGGTTCTCAAAACATTGTAATGTTAGCCAACTAAAACTATAAATATATAGATAGATAGATAGATGGATGGATGGATGAATGAATGGATGAATGAAAGAGTGAATGAATGAAAAAGTGGATGAATGAATGAATTAAAGAGTGAATGAATGGATGAATCAATCAATCGATGAACTAATGAGCGAACGAACGAATTAATCAATGGACCGCACTTTGGATTGGTTAGATATATAGAAAAATAAAAAATGTAATATAATTGTGTGTGTGTGTGTGTGTGTGTGTGTGTTTATGGATAAGCACGTGAAATTGTACGTGATGTATGATGTAGGAATATATGTATAAATGACCACCATTGATTAACCAGCCCTAACCTAACTAGAATTAACTAGCTCTATCTTATTGAGTCACACAGAAAATTTGGGGATGTGTGTGTACATCTGCTTGCGTGTGTGTGTGTGTGTGTTTGTGTGCGTCTGTGTGTGTGTGTGCGTGTATGTGTGTATTTATGTGTGCGTGTGTATTGTGGGCAACATCAAATATAAACAGAAAGTTGTCTTTGTTGTTAGAAATGAAAAAAGTGTCTTCTCATTTGATGATTTCGTTTATATGTTTCCGTAGCAAATGAAGCGAGCCATGAGTGAAACTACAAGCAGACCTGTTCAGAGGATTATTTAATTATCATTAATATTCATCTATTTATATATTCGTTTGTATGTTTGTTTGTCTGTGCGTGTGTGTGTGCGTGTGTGTGTGCGTGTGTGAGTGCGTGTGTGTGTGCGTGTGTGAGTGCGTGTGTGTGTGCGTGTGTGTGTTTGATTGTAAATAACAATCTGTATTAATCAAATTAAATCGATCGATCGACACAAATAATAATAATAATAATAATAATAATAATAATAATTTACCAGTGATTATCAATCCTTCCATCATCAAATCTGAAAAAATACATCAACAACCATTATAATCTTTTTTGGAAAAATCAATAACAATAATGACAATAATAAAACAACAACAACAATAATAATAATAAATAAGAATAATAATTATTAATAATTATTATTATAATAATATTAATAATAATTATTATTATAATAATATTAATAATAATTTCAAAGTTACTTTTCCCACTACTGTAGTAGTTTTGTTTGGTGGTCGTTCCTGAATAAAGTAAAAATTTCATTCGTTCGATCATTCGTTCATTCATTCATTCAATCATTCATTCACTCATTCATTCATTCATTCATTCACTTACCACATCCGTCAGAGGGTTGAAAATGGAAGATCCCGGCCATGGTGTTACGGTACGTTCCGGTACTATTGAAACAACGCTGACCAACTGGGTTGGAGGGATTGTAGTCGAACCCTGGTGAGGAAAAATGAAAAAAAAATCTTTGTGGACTGGGTAAAATGAAAGAAATCTTCCCGGATTCAATTTAAACAAATATTTTTCAACTCAATAGGAACCATTTTTTTCATAGTCCAAACATTAAACTGATTGAAAAACTTGTCAAGCCAGAACCGTCACGTCATAAAAGTGATTCTTAAATCAAATGAGCTTAAAAAACTAAAGTCATAAGAGCATTTTACTAAAAGAAACCAAACGAAAAAGACAAGTCCAGACCATAAGGACAAGGATTGAAACTGTTACAAGCAGCCTGGCAAGCTTGGTAGGTGCTATCGTTGCCAACATTCATTGGCCTACCATTCTGTGTAAAAGTATCGTTAGACACTATCCAGTAGCAATTTGGGGGGTCTAAGAATTTTATTTTATCATTTATATTATCAGTTATATTATTGTTCATATTATTATTTATATTATTTTCTCTTCAGCATTTCTCGACATCTCTCTTGCAGTCGAACCATCATGCAAAGTTGTAGAGTTAATAAATTATGTTAATTAGTGGAGTTAATAAATTATGTTAATTAGTGGAGTTCATAAATTATGTTAATTAGATACTTGTTGCCGGTGGTGATGGGGTCCTAGAAGAGCCTGAGTAAAATAATATTTAAACATTTCCTGGACTCCGCGTTTCATTTTGGCATAAATTATAATAAATAATTAAATCAATTCGAAAGTGTACTATTAGCAAACATTATGATCATGGTTTGACTTACTGCACTTAAATAACAGTCTAGTAAAATTAAATTCTAAGGATAAATGAAGATGACAGCTGATATGAGAAGTGAACGCCATGCAACCAACCGACACAGCTGTTCTCGTAATGGTCCACTCCAGTTGATCCTGTCTGCTTCATACTGGTTGTGGAGAAATAGCACCTACTATTAGTTATGTCCCAATCCAACCCATACGTGTAATTCGAGGCGAGATAACTGGCTTGGCAATCAGAGAGGTTTGTGGGGTTCTTAAGAATTCCGCCGAGGGTATTTGTGTTCGAGTATTGAGTCCACCCGCAGCCGTAGGTACTCCAAGGAGCAGCTGGCGTCGGGGTGCCTGAACCTGTGTTTGGATTGGTCCCGTTGGTTGGTTGTCAGTGGTGGTGTTGGTGCTTCTAATGAAAAGTTACAATGCGATCTCATTTTAAGAAGATTTGAATAGACATTGAATCAAATCATGTTCACATGGCATCATTCTGCCACACTCAATGGTCGGCTTCAACGTTGGGACGAAGGTGGCACATGCAACCGAACCAGGTCATCGTGCATCACAACTTATGAGATAAAGTTGTCCACTTACTACGATTTGCTGCTACTATCACTTGGTTAGTTGAACACCTTGCCCGCCCACAACAACCCACTCATTATTATTATTATCATCATCATCATCATCATCATTATTATTTTTTTTATTATTAGAAACTACGAAGGCGCCAAGTAACATTTCACGAGCACTGCAAACCCATTTAGGTGCATGCCTTGAAGCAGCAGCACATACAAATGTTATGTTGTCAACATCTGACAAGGCAGCAAGCATTGGAACCCGGTCACAGCGTGTAAGTATCTTAAACGTCACGCCATCAGCCTAACCAATCTGGCCAACTCTTGATGAATTTGAATCGCGTGCCAGTTAGTTCGCCGTAAGGAGCTTGATTTGAAAAATGAAACCGCAAACAAAATGAAACAACGAAAAGATAAACCAACTTGTGCATGTTAAGTCAAAATGGCTGACGTTATTAGCAGGCCTCTTAGTCATGCTTGTAGAGAAAAAACAGCCGTTCACGTTCCAATCCCAATCAAATCCGTTCTGACATACATTAGTACTCGAGCATCCAGCTTTGCAGGCATTAAGAGTATTGTAAGTTTGCATGAAAGAGCCTCCAGGCGTGTTTGTGTTGGGCGACTCCATCCATGAGCAACCTGTTTGGAGAATTTTTTAGAGTTTCAGTACCTCAGATCCATTTCAACTCTTAGTTGAGATTTTTTGTGGCCTAAATTTTGTTTCGATGTTCGTTCTGGAGAACTTTGTGCTCGCTTACGACAAATGCTTTCATGTTTTTGTGGTGAGAATTATTTTGTTGTGATGAAGTTTTGTTTGTTTTTTTAGTTTTTGAAGATTATTTTGTTTACAATCATTAAGATTGCTAACATATTGTCGAACATTAAAGAAGACATGATTATTCCTATTTTGTGGACCACTTCAAATGTTAGCAGTTAAACGATTTAATTTCTTAATTTGAACGAAATTCTGAAAATTTTGAATCAGACTTTGGGCTGAGCAGTGCTGCCAGAAGATGACCAGGAAGAGAAACTTTACGGAAACCATCACGACGAAATCTTCTTCTACCTTAATTAATTACAGCAAAATAAAATAAAATTATGAATGAACTAGTGAAATGAATGTCGAAATATAATTAGAAATTATAGACAAACGTTAAAATAATCAAATTTTCGAAAATGAGAAAATGACTTAAAAAAAAGGGCTTTCTGTAATAGGCTGGTACATCAAGCCGAACAGAGCTGCATAAATAAGTAACCAGGTATGTGTGTATATGTGTATTATGTAAATAGGTATGTATGTGTGTGTGTGTATGTGTATTTATGTATATGTGTGCGTGTGTGTGTCTGTGTAAATGTGTATGTTTGTATGAAATAGAGAAACTAGCCAACCCACCCAAATCATATTATTCGCTTCTGCATAACAATGCAGCTGGCGAGAGGAGCTGAAAGTCGTTACAGAATAGAATTTAATGGTATTTATGTATGTATGTGTGTTTGTATATATGTATGTATGTATGTATGTATGTATGTGTGTGTGTGTGTGTGTGTGTGTGTGTGTGTGTGTGTGCGTGTTCTTGGTTGAGAGATTCTCAAATGAGTAACAATGAAAGTAGCGATGATGATGGTAATAATAATAAAAATAATAATCAACTATGATATTGCTTATTATTATTATTTTGTTATTTTTTTAGTAGTAGCGAATCGCCAGTAAAGAGAGAGAGAGAAAGAAAGAAAGATAGAGAAAGAGAGAGAGAGAAAGAGAGAGAGAGGAATAAAGAGTAAACAATGAAAGAAAAAGAAAGGAGAGAGAGAAAAAAAGAGGAAAGAGAGAGGGAAAGGAAGAGAGGGAAAGAAAATTAATGTACAGAAATGTGAAGTATTTTATAAGAAGTGTATACAGATAGAGAAAGAGAGAGAGAGAGAGAGAGAGAGAGAGCGAGAGAATAGTAGTAGTGGTAGTAGTAGTAGTAGTAGTAGTAGTAGTAGTAGTAGTAGTAGTAGTAGTAGTAGTAGTAGTAGTAGTAGTAGTATAATAATAATAATAATAATAATATTGTAT